ATTTTTTAGTCTCCGTTATAAGTCTAGAGATCTTTTGGTCAAATAATTCAAAAGCCATTTCAAGTGTTCCAAATCTAAAGATCATTCAAATCAATAAATCGGGGATATCAGGGTATTTGTAGGATTTAAGAAATTGACGAATATCGGGGATTTAAAGTGAAGTCAGAGGATTTATCAGAAAAAATTTGACTTTAATTTTCTATTTTCCGACCTCTAGACTTCTTCCTTCGTTATCTTGAAAGGGTCGGAGAATTCTGGGAAATCCCTGGATCCTGATCAGAATGTTTGGAATATCCGGATGTCGAATAGGAATTTTATTTAAGTTGTGAAGCTTCCGGTGACCACTGTGATGGAAAATTATATTTATAAAAGAATTATAAAATTTTGTCTTTAATCATGGACTATATTAGAAGTTTGAATCTCTTGCATTTTATGTGGTTCCGTGACTTTTGCGCCGAGAACATTTGCGCCGCGACTCTTGCGCCGCGACTTTTGCGCCGCGACTTATGCGCCGAGCGACTTGCGCCGGGGGACTTTTGCGCCGCGACTTTTGCGCCGGGCGACTTTTGCGCCGCTACTATTATTAAAAATATATGAATAATTGCAGCCAGACCTCACTATAGTAGGGTTGTCGGATAATTGGAAATCTTCGGATATCCGGATCCGACAATCCTACACTATAGTGCATCCTACTTTTATGACCCAGACCTAATTCATCAGCTACAGGACCCCTATTGTACTTCCTGACTTCCTCCAGTTCCTGGATAATTTTTTAAACCCATGGGGTAAGGTCCGATTGTAGTTATTATTTTAATTTTTTTAAAATAATGGCGGCGCAAATGTCGCGGCGCATAAGTCGCCCGGCGCAAAAGTCGCGGCGCAAAAGTCCCGGCGCAAAAGTCGCCCGGCGCAAAAGTCGCGGCGCATAAGTCGCGGCGCAAATGTTCTCGGCGCAAAAGTCGTGATACCTTTTATGTAAAAGTTTTTGTTTCGGAAAAAAATCCATACTTTCAATTCTGTTACCAATTTTATCTCTCTAATTTTTATTAAAATTTTATTCCTTTCAAAAGTATTAGCAGAACGTTTTTTATCCTGAAATAGAGTAAAGGACTTTTCTCTCTTTTCTTATTTAAGGAAATCCTTATAGAAAAAAGAAGATTCCAAAACAGTTGCTTGGCTCATTCCCTTTTTTATTTTTTAAAATGAATATGTATAATTTAAATAAATTAAAAAAATTCCCAAAAAATTAAATTCTTTTCATTTAAATAATCCTTTCTCGTATTTTTCTTTCTTATTTAGAAATATTTGTATTGTCATCAGATGGAATTAATAACAAAGAGAAGTATTTTGCAGAATTTTCTTCGTTTGAAGTAGTATTTGTTGTTGGATTTGTCGCCGTATTTTTTTCTTCATCCAGATAAAAATAAAGCTAAAAAATTATTTCATTTTTTATTTTGATAAATTAATTTTTAAAAATTTTAATTTTATTAATTTTTTATTTAAATAAAAATTAATTTATTTTTGTTTTTTAATGAATTAATTGTTTAATTCAATTGCCTAATTTAATTTTAAAAAATTATTTAATTCAAAATTTAAATTAAAAAAATAAAAAAAAATAATTTAATTTTACCGTATTATTATTTAATTGAATTAAAGAAAATATTATAATAATTACTAAAAAATATTTTAAAAACATTTTTATTTAAAAATAATTAAATTTAATAGAAAAAATAATAAAAAAATAATAAATTAAAGATTGAATATTTAAAGTTTTTTTATTAAATGATAATAAATGCTAGATTAGATGAATTAAATAATAAATTAAAAATTGAGAAAGGTATTGAATATTATAGATAGCTTGTTTATTCAGCAAATATTATCTCTATATTATTGGACAAAAGCCAAATTTGGATTTTTTGGATTAAATTTGGATTTTTGTATGGTTTTATTCCTTCCAATAAACTAAAAAATTAGAAAATAGATTTAGCAGATAAAAAAAAGAGCATTGCTTTTAAGGGAGAATTTATAATTGTTGCGGGTATTGTCGCCTAGATATGATTGAGACATACCCTAAACCCAACACATTCTCCCTAATAATTAACCTCTCCAGTGAGAGATTGAAACAATAATTACCCAGGGTAATTATTTCAGCATTTATGGTAATCAGAATTATTAAAAAATATTTTAAAAACATTTTTATATTGAGTGTTTAGTAAAAGTTAATAGATAATTAATAAAGTTGCAGCTTTGGAAAAATATTTATTATTTTAGATAGTATGTTTATTTAGCTAATATTAACTCAATATTATTGGCAAAAAGTCAATTTTGGTGGATCTTTTTCTAAAAATAAATTATTTTAAACCTTGAATTTTGGGCTTTTTAAAGATTCTTATATTTTATTTGTAAATTAAAAATTCCCACAGAATACTTAAAAACAAAACACAAATTACAAACCAGTTTATTTTGTACTTGATGTTAAAATAATTAATCCACAAATTACCCGCAGCTGCGGGTAATCATCGAGTTTTGGGTTGATTTTTTTTGAATAAGGGTTAACCCTCAGCTCGGGGTTCTATTACTCGAGTAGACTTACCTGTTAAACTTATCTCGTTCTCTGAATACGGACCCTGGTGTATTTTTTAAACAAAACTTCAGAATTTTCCTGTCCTTATATTATCTACAATAATGGAAATTATATAAATCCATTTACTCTAAAATTACATTTTTTTTATAAATCTCATTTTTATCATTTATACCAATAAATAAATATTATTTAATTTAAAAAACTTTCCCGAAAAATAAAATTAATCAATTCTAACATTTTTTATTTAAATAATTTTCTCATCTTTTTTCATTATTTATGGTTCACTTGGAATTAATAAATGCTTTGAAACATGTATTTCTCCTGAAAATTCATCTTTTGGATTATTATTTGTTTTTGTTGGGCTTGTAGAATTTATTTGTTTATTAAGAGAATATACTATTAGCTTAAAAAGATTTTTTATTTTAAAATTACAAATTTTAATATTAAAATATATTTAAATTAAAAATTTAAATGTTTTACCGCATTATTATTTAATTGTAAAGAAAATATAATCATAATTATTAGAAAATATTTTAAAAACATTTTTATCTGAAAGTTTAGATATTTAGGCTCTTGTCCAGTTTATGCGTCCAATCGACTTTTATGCGTCCAATGAAAGTTTATGCGTCCAATCAAAAGAAAATTGGATTTTTCTTTATATTTTGAAGTTGGGGTTGGGTTATTTAACATTTATTCATGTTTGGGACCTACGCCCACTGGGTCTGGGACCGTTCCTTGCCCTATCCACCGAAATTTCGGAAAGTTATAGCCAATTTTTAAAAATTTCGGAAAAACAATTATAACATTCCGAAATTTCGGTGGATAGGGCAAGGAACGGTCCCAGACCCAGTGGGCGTAGGTCCCAAACATGAATAAATGTTACTTTCATTGGACGCATAAAAGTCGATTGGATGCATAAACTGGACAAGAGCCGATATTTATTAGTGTTTTTATTAAGAGTTAATACAAAAATAGTAATAAATTTTAAATGAATAAACTGCTAAACTTGCTGCTTTGAAAAAAATATTTATTATTATAGATTGTATGTTTATTTAGCAAATACTTATCTCAATATTTTTTTTGGGCAAGAGCCAATTTTGTTGATTTAGATTTTTTTCTAAAAATAAATTATTTTAAACTTCGAATTTTGTTTTTTTAAGATTTCTATATTTTATTTGTAAATTAAAAATATAAAAATTATCATAGAATACTTAAAATTACAAAACAGTTATTTTAAAATTACAAAACAGTTTATTCTGTAATCAATTAACAAAAACACTAATTAGGTATAATAAATTTTAAAAAATTATTAAAATATTTTAATTAAATATCTAAAATTATTCCATAAATTCTCTAAATAAATTAATTTCTGAAGCATTATTGAGAACATAACGGCGATAAGTAAAATAATTTTTTTGAATCTAAAAAGTAATTATAATTTAAGTTAAAATAAAATTATTTTCTCTCTCTCACTTGTTGTCTTTTAAAAAGTGTTGTAATAAATAGAAGGGAATCAGCAAAATATTTAACGCTTTTTGTTTGTCCATGTCTATTTTGTAGATAAATTAGTAAAGCATGGCAAATTTTGGAACGGAGTTCGGAGATAAGTTGACGAGAATGTGGGGAGATGCCCTCACAATCTTTAATAAATTTTGAATAATTTCAAATTAAACAAAAAATTATTTTTAAATAAAGAAAAAAACTTTCTTTAAATTATTTTTCACAACATGGAAATTGGAATAAGTAATGGGAAAAAGTACTAATTTTCCAATCATTCTAGTTTCTTCTTTTAATTTTAGAGTTTTAAGACTTGAAAAATTGGCGACATTTTTATCCAATCTCCATATTCCAATTTTATGTTTCATTGGAAAATAAGTTTTTTGAGTTAATTCCAAATTGGGAAAAAGCAAAATATAGCCCACTAATGACTATTTGCTGCATTCCTCCTAATCTAATAAACAAACTAAAAATAAACGTGGCTTTCACGTGCATTCACATGGACATATATTTTGACCTTTTCCTCGATTAAAAGAAATCCCGACCGTTATCAGTTTGTCACAATTCCCGATCTTTATCATATTATTTGTTATTCACTTATTTACCCAAATCTTGACCAGTTTAGAATTGTAACCAGATCTGACCAGACCTTTGTAATTGCCCTCTTTCCCTCCCTTGTATGTATAGGTATTTTATTTTTAAATAGTTCTGTAAAATTTGTATATCCTCGAAAGGCTTCAGAACCCAGATCCCAACACTTTTTCTCTTTATAATTAAAATAATATTATTAAATATTAATTTATTTACATTCATTTAAAACAAGAATAGCTCTAATTAACGATGTTTGTACTCTATCAGGTTTTAATTTTTGAAAGGGTACAACTGCACCTAAAAATATATTTTTTATTCACAATTTAGTTTAATAATTAAATATAAACTTAACTTTGGAAAGTTCTTTTTCCAAAGGCATTATATTAGCTTTGTTTTTGAATGGACTAGAACCGTCTGGATACTTTAAAGTTTGATTTAAATTAAATTTAAATATATTTTTATATTACTTGTACAACATTCGAATTAATTTGAGATGAAAAACTTGCAGTAGTAAGTAGTTGATTAGGTACAACAATACTCTAAATAATTTTTAAATTCAAATAATTTATTTTTTAAATTCCCACTACTACCTTAATTAACGCTATTTTTTCTTCAAGAGAAAGACTTTTAAACATTGGAAGTGTTTTAACATAAGACCTAAAAATAATTAGCAGTATTTTTATTTTTAAAAATATGTACATTCCAAGGTAGAGATCTGTATAAACCCAAAATTTAGCCACTCCAAATTTTCTACGTTCAGAACAGGGCAAAGAAGTTGGAGGCCATTTTTCAACTGGCTTTAATTAATTTAAAAATTATTAATTTCTTTTTAATTAAAAAATTTACTGGATATTTGCTAATGTTTGAGAAAATTGTAGGTTCTAAATAAATTTAAAATTTAAAAATTAATTTTAAAAAAAAATACCTTCAATAGCCTCGATAATTTTTAAATTTTTATCTTTTGGATTAAAATACGAAAAACGTAATTTTTCCAATTTTTCTTCCAAACAAAGTGTTTCTCTAATTAAAGAAAGGACTTCGTTTTCATTATTTGTAATTAAAGTACTATTTGTAATCTTTAAATAAAATTTTTGAATTTTTTAAATTTAAAATCCCAAACATTTAATGTTTTTGCATTTTCCTCGTCTTCTTGAGTATTCTCATTTTTATTTTTTTGAATACGTCTACGGGCAATGGAAAAACTTAGATTAGAAGAAGGAATTCGTTGAATTGCTTAAAAAAATATTTTTTTTGAAAATTTTTTATAAAATTTTGTATGCCTTTTTCGTCCATTCCAGCCTCTACACAAATACGAAAACGACATGCTCGGCAAGCACATCTATTCTCTAAAAATTTTAAAAATATTAATAGGATATTTGTAATTAAGTTAAAAGAAGCTCGTGATTTAGGGTTCAGATTTTTTAGGTTAAGATTATTTTTATATTTTACTAATTTATTTTTATATAACCTCGCTTCATATAATCAAGAAAAATTTAAAACTTACTCTTATCAAAACTACAATTTCCATCTTTTCTACAAACAAATTTTCTTCCAGTCATCACAGTTCGACTTTAATTTATTTTATTTTACAATATAAAATTAATTTTTCTAGCTAACCGGAAAAAGGTTTTGCAGCCATTACAAGAGATAACCTAAGAAAATATTTTTGCTTATTTTTAATATTTAAAATTATTAAATTACTCCATAATGTACTCCAGTTGCGATATCCCCGCAAACCGTACAGAAAGCTTTATCTTTACTTTCAACATTAATATAGTCCCCAGAATTTCTCCAGAATTTTTTGGAGAACTTTCAGAAGATTCTAGACTACTATAGTCCCCAGAATTTCTCCAGAATTTTTTGGAGAACTTTCAGAAGATTCTAGACTACTATATTCTTGTTCGTCTAGTGACATTTCTGTAAAAATTTAACTTTAACTTAAATTAATTTTTTATAAGAGAAGGAGAGGAGAAGCACGATTTTGAGGTTGCTCTACCGTAAATTTTATAATTTATTTAAAAATTTAAATAAAAATTTAAATTATATATCATTTGATAGAGACTATTTCAAAGTATAAAATTAATAAAAAAAATTAATTTTTAAATTTAATTTTTTAAATTAATTAATTTTTTTTGTTTTAAATTAAAATAATTAACACTTAAAAAAATAAAACATTAGAAGAAAACGTGAAAATAACAAACAAAAATCGATTTTATTTAAATAATGTAATACGTGTTAGTTTAATAAATAAATAAAATTAAAAATGTAATCTGTTCGGGTGTACTTTTAAATTTTTTATTGTTAATATTAAACAATTACATATTTAATAAAATAGAAAAAGTATTTGTGAAAAAAATTTTAAAGTTATGCTTAAAAATAAATTTAAAAAAAGTTAGTAATATTAAATTTTTTTAAACAAAATTTAAATATTTTAAATTCTTTCTAGTTTTTAAAAATTGTTTTATTAGAATTGTAAGAATTATTTAGAATGTTTAAAGATGTTTGAGAATAAATGTTAATATTTTTAAATGTAACAAAGCCACGTCTTTCAAGATGTTTTTTGTTTAGTTCGTGGCATTTATTTAATATAACGTTTTATATAATTTGGTTAAATGTGTAAAATTAAAAAAAACAAGGAAATAAATATTTTAGGATGTAAAAAATATTTTCTAATTTTAAAAGAAATACATATGATGTTTTTCTTTTTTTTCTGGAAAAATATTTTCAAACAAATCCACGGAAGTAGAAATTTTTTGTGAGAGAAGGCGAGAATATTATTAAAAATAAGTGATATACAATACCTATCTTCATAAACGCTGTAAATAATTATATAAAAAACCCTTTAAGGACAAAAATTTTATCAAAAAAATAAAATGCAAAGCAATAAAATAAACTCCTAATCCACTCGGATTACTTATGGAGACAAATAAAATAATAGTTAAATGTTAAAAAATAATTTTACGAATAAGGGGGTGTTTTAATAAAACAATTTTTTGAATAATTACAGTAAATATATACAGGGGGGTGTTCGATAAAAAAGGATTCACAATTTTTTAAATAACTTCCAATTTAATAGACTTTCTTCAACTTTTAGTAAAAAATTCAATTTTCATCATAAAAATCATCATTGTCATCAAAATTATGCTCATGTGTAAAATCATCAACCCAAACTTGCATTTTATCTGAAATTCTTTTTAAAGCATAATTTTCGTACCATTCAGACATTGTTAAATTTATCCAACAATCATTGAAAAGATGGTAGGTTTTTAATCTAAATATAGAATAAAATTTGTAAAGTTTTTAAACATACTCTGATTGTCCCTCTTTCATGTTTTCGTTAAAATTTAAAATTTTATCGTATGGACTTTTCCCAACAAAAATTTTTTTGCTTTTCTTTGAGATAATCTCCAAACTTTTAAATATTGAAGACTAAAAAAATATTTTTCTAATTAATTAAAATTTAAAAAACCTCATCTTTAGTAAAAGCTTCCTTTGGAAATATATCTTTAGAAATATCGGGAAAAATTATACTGAATTCCTTCCCATTTGAAGCTTTCAAAAATTCATTCAATAATTTCAATAATATATTCAAAATACGATCTTCTTCTTCATTGTTTATGGCTATTAATTAAATATATTTTTAATTTGTAAATTTATCATTATTAATCACATAAGTTAAAATATGAAATATCATTCTTTAGGGCTTACAGTTAACACTTATATCCAAAATTTGAATACCAACTAAATTTAAATCTTAAGGGCCTATATCCTAGGTAGAACGTTTATTTGTATTCTTCAATTTAGGGTTGTAAACGTTCATGAATGCGGGTAATTTGAACTCCCCCTAGCTACCAAAATTTTCCATCAGGTCCCTCCGTCGGCGACTTACAATTCTCTTTTTCTTTTTTTAATCTTTCTTTTATCTTATTTACGCATTTAATAACTTTATCCTCATCCTTTTTATCTTTCCCGTCATCCACTTTATCATTCTTGTTATTCTCTTTCACCTTCCCGTCATTTTCCGTACCAATCATACCGTCATCCTTATCTCCGCCATCTTTCATTAAATAATCTTCATTTATCTCTTCATTTTCTTCATCAGTCATATCTTCATCATCATTGTTATCCCCCGACTTTAAATTAATTCCAACTTTCTCTTCACAATTATTTAACCAATCATAATCAAACATATTGCCCAATAATTCGTCAAAATTTTTAAAACTTTTTGTTTTAGTTTTCTTTTCTCCTTTCACAAATTCTTGCCATGTTTTGAAAAGAAAATCATCATCATTTTTTCCTTCTATTTCGAATTTCTTCAAATTACCTGACAATGCATACAAACAAGTTCTCGGGATTAAATAACTTTAAAAATCAAAATTATTTTTAATATTCTTTACATTTATTTTAGAAAGGAATATTTTTTTCTTCCCTTTTTAATGATATAGTAATTCTAAGCCGAATTATAAAAGTAAAATATGCAAAGCGGAAGGAAACCGAATATATTAATAAAAACGGAAGCCTGAAGAGCCATAAATTCTCTAATTGAAGCCAAAGCTGATATTTTTCAATGGAAAACTTTGAGGTGAACTATATTAAATATGAGCTTCTATTAGAAACTGGTTTATTTTTTAATCTCAATGGGTGTACAAAATAACTTTAAAAATTAAATTACTTTAATACTATACTTACGTATTAGTTAACTGCCCATTTTAAAAATTTAAAAAGAATACAAAATTAAATCACAAAAGTTTAAGGTATGTATACAATTCACTTTAATCTTAAAATATAGTAATAACCTCGATATCAATGATTTCTCTTTATTTCTGTCATTATGCAATTTATCGAACATTTGCATAAATAATTTTAACCAAAATAGTTTGCCATAACTCATAAATAATCTTTTCTTTGCCTCAATAAAACTTTTCTTTTCTTCTAATATCAACTTGTAAAATTTAAATGCTTCATCATTTACAAGTTTATTTAATTTTAAACTTTTTTTAACTTCTTCTTTTGTAAATATTTTTTCAGATTTTTTCGTCCCCTCATCATGAATATAAATAAACTTGACACTCAAATGCCCTTGGCTATTTTTTACAACAATAAAATCATTGAAATTAATTTCTTCAAATTCAAAACCTAAGTATGTATAAATCCTAAATTTTAATTTAAATTATTTAAATATTTACCTGTAACATCAGAAATTTCTTTCATTCCTTTCATTATTTCTGTTGAAATAATATCCATACCTAAATCACTTTCCCATTTTTTTCCTTGTCTATTTTCATTAAAAAATATATAACGAATTCTATAACGTAAAAATTCTCCTAACGGAGCTACCATTTTTGCTTCATCAAAAAGTAGTTTGTTTGGTTTAAAAGCTGATTCAACCTTTCCGGTGCTTTAAATTATTTTTTATTAAATATTAGGAACTTATGGGGTGATACATAAGTTGTGCCGAACTGGCACAATTTTGCCTCAAAATTTAATTTATTTTTAATTTTATTTATCGATTCCACCCATTCCATTTATTTCTAATTTTCACCTAACTTTGTTTTGTACCGCCCAATTTCTCCCCTATTTAACTATTTGGCTTTTAAGAGAAAAGCCAGTTTCTGAACTGTTTTTACTAGCTGCCAGCCCCCTTTTATTGCTTCTCCTTATTTTTAATATATTGGAATTTAAATAAATATTTTTCTTTTTAAATAAGTTCTTTGTGTTTGAGTCTAGGGGTCTTGAGTTACAAATTGCCATACTCGGCACATAAGTTAAAATTTTCTAAGCTTTCCAGGATTTTAAATGTTAATTAGTACTACTTATCAAGACTTTACCTATCACGCAATAATCTACTGTCAGTAAGTTTTGCTACGTATAAAGCATTTTTATTCAAGAGAGCAACTTTTACAAATTTTTCAAAAAGTTTCGACATTTGTTTATCACTATTTTCATGTTCAGAAATATTTTCTGATTTTTTAAAATAATATTCAACTTCTAATTTACATTTACCGTTAGTTAATGAAAATAAATGTGTAATTTTTGTTGGCTAAAAGTAGAGAATATTTTTGTAATTTATGTTAACTTACTCCCGATGTGAGAGAACGTTTTGCTCCAACAAAATCAAAAACTATTTTTGTGTCAAAATGTTCAGTTTCAAATGATTTATGATTTTTATATACATCCAAGCCTTTACCGTCAAGAATACGTTTATAACCGCAGGGGCATTCTAAATTAATTCACCATATTTTAATTCCCCATTAATTTCCCATTCTCGATTAATTCCCCATGCCAGGGCCAGGTTAAAACAATAATTCTCCACACCAAATATGTGCCCTACTGCACGTTTAAATGTGAAAACTCGAATTATTTACTACATTTAAATAATTCCCTATCCTGCGGATGGGTTTAAAAATTAATTCTATGGGGGAATTAATCAAGAAAAATAAATATATTTTATTTATTAAAAACTAACCAGTTTCATAAATATATTCAAACGACGGTAATTCCAAGGCTGGTCCCCCCCTTTTTTTCCTTTCAATTTTTTTCGATTTTTTAAACTTTTTATGCAAATTATATATCATTCGAAAGAGCTCTTCAAGCTGAGTAGAACGGTGCTAAATTCATCGAAATCCGACTTAAATAAACATAGTTATGACCATTTGTTTTAATCCCTTTCAACACCACAAAAAGCATGTCCATCAAGGATTTATCTTCATAATTTGGTTCAAAATCGACAAATCTATCCGATCATAGTATCATTCTACTCAGCTCGAACAGCTCTTTCAAATGATATATTGTAAATTATATTTAAAGCAAAAAATCTCAAAATGGTCAGGCGAACAGAAAAAAAGGGGGGGGGGACCAGCCTTGGAATTACCCAAACGACTTAATATCACTAAAAGTAACAGCAACTTCCCTAATATAATAATTGTCAGAACATTTTTCTTCAACTTTAGTATTATTACAAAACAACTCGAAACGATGTTCTTGCCCACATCCATTTTGTAAATTTTCTTTTAAATAAGGACATTTGAAGTGAAAAATTAGGGGATAAGCAAGAGATTTAACTTAAAATATAATTAATTTTAAGAATAAGGTAGTGATGAAAACTTTCCAAAAGAAGTAAATTTATGTTCTAAGACTTTACTGCGAAACAAAATATATAAACGTTATTAAGAACTTTCTGGAAAATCTTACGGCGCTGGTCTTGTCTATGCATCTGCTGAACCTTTATGAGTCCAATGAAATTACAAGTCCAATGAAAATTTATGAGTCAAATAAAAACTTTCCGGTCCAATGGAAGTTTGTGTCTTTATCGGCACTCAGACGAGGTTCACCTTTCCTAATTACCTGACCATTTTTAGCTTTTTTTCCTTCCCTCTTTGTCCCGTTTTCTGCCTAAGGCATGTTTCGCAAATTAGCCCAAAAAACTACCTAACTGTCGGTGGTGTATAAAAAGCTTCATTGAACTCGTAAGGGTTCATTGGACGAATAAACTAGACATGGCCAACCTTTTTGTTCATTTTTCTGCTCAATCAGACTGTCATTTTTTGTTGTATGTTCTTTCTTCCTAATTTCCGTTATACTCAATGTTGAAAAACACATTGAGTATAATTGTTTCATTAATTTTTCATTGAGTAACATAATAACAGGTTTTTCTGTTTTTTCATTTATTTTTATCCATTGGACAAAAATAAATCTCTTTTTATTTGAATCGTCAAATTTATAAATGTCATAACGAGGAGGTGCTTTTCTTCCAAAAACTTTCTTTTCAACAAAACATGTCAAAAATTCTTTACCAATTTTATAATCAAAATCTTCATCATAAGCATTTAAAATTGTAAAAAATATACAAATTTTAAATAAAATAAAATATAAAAAATTTTTATTTTTACCAGGAAAAGGAGAAGTCATTCTCCTTAGAGAAACTTTCTCTCCTGAAAATAAAAATTAAAATAAAAAACATTTTCTATAAACATAGGTAAACATTTAAAATTTTTATTTAATTTAATTTAAGAATTATTGAATATATTAATGAAAAGAAGAGGGAATAAAGGCATTTAATAATTCTTTTACTTTCTCAAGGCAGTCTTAAAATTACACGTAGACTAACCTCCCCAATAAAAACTCTCCATAGTCGCCTAGCGATTTTAGAATCTCTCCCTTTTTTAATTATTGAGTGAAAAATTGATTTAATATAAGGATTTGACTATTCGAAAAAAAATTATGGGGATTAATAACTTTTATATAAGAGGAGCCGGTCCCTGGAGGTCTGTCGATTCCTCTAATGAAAATATCATCTAAATGGGAAAATTGAGAATCTTCTCCTTCTATTAAAACAAATAAATTAATACAGTCGGGGTTGCTTAGATCCAACATCTTAGTCTTACATCCACACCTTAGATAAATTTTTAGAAGTTGTTGGGGAGCTTATTGAATGAAACTTCTTATTTAAAATAACTTCGTTATACCCCCCCCCCCCGTTAAAGTTCACTTCAAAATAATTAAAAAAAACATTTTTGTTTTTTCAAAATTTTAATTAAATCTTCTTATTTTAAATATTTTGGAATTTTTACTAATTATAAAAAAAATTTTTAAAGAAAAATTAAATAAATATTATTCTAACAATCTAAAAATACATATCTAAATATTTTTAGAAAATAATAATTATTGAAAGATAAAAAAAACTTTTATTTAAGATTAAATGTGTGTATAATCATTATAATAATTACAATAAAATATATATAATTATTTGTTAAATTCCGAAAAAATTAAAAATTTACTCTCCCCAAATCGTTGTTTGATATTCAAACTCTTCCCAATTCTAAAAATGCTTTTTTTCCAAAATTCAGAAAATATTCATTCCAACATTCAAAGCAAAAATTCGGTCATATTTTAAATTTGTTGGGATTGTACGTGTGTGCCTGCGATATATTGGCCGAGTTTTTAGTGTTTTGAGCGAACGGAGATTTTGCCATTGATTTGATGTACAACACATTTTAACCTTGAAAACCAATAAAAGTAAATAAAATGAAATCTTGCTTTTGGATGAGGTTATTTTTTGTTTTAATGAGGTTATTTTTGAGGTATCGTTTAGACAGCCCCCTACCTTCCCTCCCAGCCAGAGATGGGTCTGAACAGTCAGAGTTGTCGGAACTCGGAACAGCAGAAAATTGAAAATGGCTCAAAAGTCGGAACTCAGCAATCGAAAAAAAAATTTTTTTTCGAAAATCGGAAGGAAAAAAACGCCGGAAATCGGAAGTCGGAATTTCGACCCAACCAGTGCCCAATTTATTTATAAAACGATGATAAACCTAGAGAATTCTGGGGTATCTTCAATTTTTTATAAAATGTATTTTGTTAAAGAATGTTTTTCCAATTATAAATTTAATCTATTTACTAATTATTTATTGTTCTGATTTTATTTTTTAAAATCTTTTTAATGACATACAAAACTAAATTTGCTGTCCTCCATGTATTTAAACAATAAAGATTCTGCAATATTTTGATCATTAGCATAAATACACATAACTGTCTCGTTAGATGCAACCTTTTTTTTAAAAATAAAAAGATAACCAATTAAAAATTATTTATTTAATTACCAAATATCCCGCAAGTATCGGTCCTTTTTGTTCAATAAATTCATTTTCTCCTTCAACATTTTTTACTTTTTCTGTTTCTTTACTGTCCAATTTCGCAGCATAAACTCGATTTTTAGCAAAAAGAAATTCCAAAAATTCTGCTCTATTATGAGTACTTAAAGTTGCATCATATTCCAACAATAATTCATAATCTTCTTTATTTACTTTTGTTACTTTTATTTCTTAAAATAAAAATAAATTTATTTTAAAATTTTTAATTAGAAATTTCTAATAGTTTTGTACATATGTAAATATAACACTATTTCTTTATTTTTCCTGATCAAATACAATTTATTTATATTTAATTTATTTTGAACATTCTTCCTCTTAATATTTTACACTAATTAATAGAGACCGTCCCAACTTTCTCTTTTCTTCTCCGCTTAACATTTACTGCTCGACTTCTTTGTTTTACTTGTCTTTAGGGGGTGTATTTTTAACGTGATCAAAAAAGTTGAGACCAAGACTATGACTTCACCCCAAGACCGAATAAAACCTAAGATATCTTGATTCTCAAGACCAAGAATTTTGCACTATCTACTCATTAAGTATCAGAGCTGTCCATAATATTTATAAAATTGCGGATTGTGATTGATTAGAATTTTTTGAGATAATCTTTTTTCGGTCAATACCTTTAAAACAACACTCGTTCATTTCTTGAATCCTATATAATTTATTAATCTTCACCTTTTGACAAATTCAATTTATTCAACGCCTCAACAGTGTTTATTGTAATCTGTTGCAGACGTAATTTGTCAGCTATAATAAATCCAGCATTATCACGAAGAAAACTGTCACGATCAGAGTCGAAAACATCTATAGTCATGTTTTTACGTAATTCTAAATTGTATCGGCCCAAAGTTCGTTCGGCCAGTTGGTCTACCAAATGCTCTAGAACTAGGCGTTCTTCAGGATTGTAATGGACCTATTAATATTGCATAAATTATTAAAAATTCAAATGTATTTATTATGAAATTACTTGAATGAACATGGGCATAAATGTGCGATCTGGATGTTGGTCCTAAAAAAGAATTTAAAAAATTTTAGACTTGGGCCTTCTCAAATTTTCCAATCCTAGTGATTTTTTAGAATTGATCTTGTTCATTTAAATATAATTCTTACAAAAATAGCATCAATTCGCATGTCAAGCGGATTTTCATTATCTGGGGCAGAAACAGTCACAGCTTTTTCTGCTAAGGATGTGTCCAGATGTTGAAGAATAAAGTATGCCTGATTATTTGTATAACGGACAAGAGCGGCAACAGCTACTAATTTACCTATAATTTATTTTTAAAAGAACTTTTATTTTAAGAAAATTACCCTGTTGATCTTGAATTTTAGCAGAGGTACTTCGAGGGATTGATTGAACTGGATATGGAGATTGTGCAGGTATTGGCAATGGAAAAACATTTTTGGAAATAATAGTTACAGCCATTAAATTAATAAGAGGAGGTATTTTTAGTATTTAATATTTTATTACTAAAATAATATTGAAATTTATAAAATAAATTCGGAAACAAATAATAACATATTTAAAATATTACAGAAAATTAACAATAAAGCTATAAGAGAAAAACAGGATTTCTTTTGGGATTATTAACGAGAGAATAAATTTAGCCGAAAAATCCAGAATAACGGCATTGGATAAATAAAGTAAAATATAAATTACGGAATTATGCAGGTAAAATTGCATGAGAGATTAACTAATGCAAGTAAAAAAAGGAAATTATCACGCAAAATGCAACAAAAATGCCGTGTTGAATATTTTTTAAATTGATGTAAGAGATGTATAATGGAATTTTTCTGGAATATAATTTTGAGACAATATTGGAATTTATTTTTGCTAAAATTAGAAGAAAAGTTTAACGACAATTCTCCTACAAAATGCATATTCAGTTTTCTGTGGCTTTTTAGATCTTGGGATTAAGTCTTGGTCTCGAATCACGCAATTATTTTCACTATAGGATAGCTTTACTAAATGATCTTCTTATTTTGTTGTTTTGTATTAAAAAATAATGAACAAATAAAGAAATTTTTCTAAATATATTTATAATTATTGAAAAATATTTATAATTATTTTATAATTTAATTATGTATCCTATTTAAATTCATTTAATTAATTTTTATAATTTTTAAAATGCATATATTTAATTATATTAAATAAATATAATTTAAAAACAAATTTATTTTTGAATTAAAATAAAGACTTTGAATAAAAATAGAGAAAAGAAAGGATACGAATCGGACGGATTTTGGTGAATTTTTGGATGAAATAAATAAATCCTGAAAGAAATAGAAGGGAGTGAAAAGAATTAAAAGGATTTTTGATGGATTGAGAATTGTGACGTTGATTGTGGTTGACTGCCTATAAATATATAATATTGGTTTTCGTGCTCAAGAAAGCGAACGAAAATGCGGTTTTGGTTAAGCAGGTCAACACAATCGTTGTGTTAGTTCTTTGAAAATTAAAAGAGAAAATAAATTTTTTAAAAATATTTTTATCTCCAGAAAATTTTTTGTCTAATAGAAAGAAATATTAAAATAAATATAAAATAATTTTTTAAAAAAAGGCTTTGCAGGAAAAAATAAATATACATATGTTAAAAATTAATTTAATTGACAAAAATTTTCAGTTTTTTAAATTAGAATTTCAGTATTAAAATTTTTTAAGCAAAATTTGGTAAAAATTATGTAGAACAATTTTTAATGAATAATAAGCTGAGTGGGGAAGGGTTTGGAAATTATTGTTTCAATCCCTCACTGAATGGGGCTAATTAATGAGTGTGTAAATAATGAGGAGTAATTATTTGATGTATTGGTTTTTGTTAATAACAAGAAACCAAAAATTAAAAGAAAAAATTTAATGATATTGTTCAAAAAAATATTTTTTTAATCATTGCTCAATAAATCAGTAAATATATACTGCGCAAGAATTAAAATTAATGTTTTATATAAACAAAAATATTGATCAAATATTTGAAGAAAATATTTTTTATGATTTTTATTAGAACGTAATTAATATACATATATATTATTTTGCATGAAAGATGGCGATGCTAGAATGATCAAAAAATACAACTAAGTAATTATGAGAAAATAATTTTTAGAGAAAATATTTTTTCATGATTTTTGTTGGAAAGTATTGACTAGCTGGCTGTGTAAATAATTTTAAAATTATTTTAATATGTAGTAGGTTTTTAGGAATTCTATGTTTATAAGTGAAAGAATAAATTTTGTATATTAGATCCCTATAGATATGTATTATTGCCGAGAATATACTAATATTCACAAACAAAAAATGTATTTAATTTACATGTTTTGTGAGGCTCTAATCAGAAGTTCTGATTCAGAACTCATACGTGTTTTTGGAGATAATCTTCTGTAAATTAAAGGTCATATTATCAAATCTCGATCGAGGTACAAAATAAAAGTACAGATGATATTTATGGATCACTGCCTTTTAAATAAAAATATCAATTTGGTTGCTAACAGAATAATTCTCGAATATACCTCCATATATTCGAATAGATACAGATCAAAAATAGATTAATTTTATCAAAACTCTCAAGTATTTACAAAATTAAATTTAAATTGTTAAAATTTAAATAAACTTTTATAAAATAAATTTAAATTAATTTATTTTTTTAAATTTTATTTACTGTAAACAATTTTCTAACTAACCGCAATTAAGCAAACACACAAAGAGGCGCCTTCTATTTATTTTTACAACAACAAAGTCAACAATTTTGTGTTTTATTTTTATTTGGTAAAAGCGAAAGACGCCGATAAAATATTTGGAACATTCAATTTATTTTAAATTGCTCAAGACGAAATAAGACTGGTTTTGTTGTGTTAACTATTGAAAAGCGGGAAAGAAAATAATTTTGAAATTGTAATAATTTGAGTTATAAAAATAAAGTCAATTTTTGTTTAGTAGTAATAATTTAAATGAATTGAAGTTCCTGGAATTTTTGTTTCTGGAAAGTTTGTTCCCAAATCTTAAAAATTTTTATCTTTGGATGAAAATATAGTTTTTTAATGATAGATTTGTTTTTTACGAATGCTTTTTGGGGGTTGGCTAATGCATTGGCCTAAACAATGCAGGTACATATGTACTACTATAATATAACAATTAAAACTTAATATTATAAAGGTTAATTAATTAAGGTTAATTAATCAACAGATGTATTAACCTTACTGAATTTAATATTCTCTCAATTTTAAATGCTTGTTAGTTTTTTTCCAAAAAGTAAGGGATTCCCTTTTTAGTTGGATATTTTAAAAACCTCGATAAAAAGACAAAAGTAAACATTTATACATCTAAATTAAGTTATGTATAATTAAGTAATTATTTAGAAAAATAATTTTAATTATTCGACGCAATTCTTCTTTAAAATATTCTCTTTTATCAATTAATTACATCCGCAAAAATTGCCGAAATTTCCAAAAAGAAGATAAGTAAAATTCTTCATTAAATATTTCAATATATTAATTATTGCCAAAATATTAGAATTGTTTTTATTTTCATTTTGTGAATTATTTGGTTTTAAGGGACAAGTATTGTTAGCTAAACTTAAATTAATAGTAAATGTTAATAAAAAAATAATTAAATAATTGGGATATTTTGTCATTTATTTTTATTTTTATTTAAGAAAATTTTTTAAAGAGGGATTTTTCTCTTCGGCTCCGAGGTCGAATTGTTAGAAATTTGTCTTTTCTATGTGAATTTAAATATATAAAATATAGAAATGGGATTTAAATAAATTTATTTAAAAAAAAATATTTAATTTTATTTAAATGTAAATAAAAATTATTTATGAAAAAAACATGAAATTGAATGAAAATTTAGAGAATGAACTTATGACTATTTAATTTTATTTGGATTTACATTTAAAAATTTTTAAATAAAAATAATAAATAAATCTAAACAAAATTTTTCTAAATTACATAATTATTAGTGAATTAAATTAAATATATTAATAATATATTTTTAATGTATGTATGTATCTTGGTGCCTGATTTGAGCAGTAAATGTTTTTAAAAAATAATTTCTCACACAAACATTTGATTAACATAGAAAAATTTTGGCAGTAAATTATAATTTAAGAGACGAATAATTATAAATGTTAGGGATATATGCCTTATTAGTTCATTCATTAGAAGAACGATTTAGGAAGTCGATATGTGGACTAGTAGCTTCATAATCGAAGCTTTTTTCTGTTGAGATATGATGAATTTGTTCTGATAGAGTGTGCAGATCTGATGGCATGATGGCAATTTATTTTTTGTTTAAAATTTTTCTTTTTTCAGAATTTCTAAGTTTTTTAAAGTTCTTTATTAAAAATTTTTTAATTTATAAAATTTTTAAAAATAAAAAAAAATTATAAAATATTTAAAAAATGGTTTTTGTAATTATTTTTTTGATAAGCGACTATTTCGAATTTTCTTAAAAATGACGACAGATTAATTTTGTTGATGGTTTATGTGTTAAACAATATTAAAAAATATTCTAAGTGCCAATAATTTAGGCGTTTGTACTTTATCAAGAAATGTCATTAAAAGTTTTGCCATATTTCATAGAAAATTAAACAAATTTTCACCTGTAAATTTAAAATAAATAAAAGAATAATGTAAACATTATTTTAAAATTATATAGAATTATTAATTTAGTTTGTCTCGAAGTAAAAAGTTAAGGCATTTTCGTTAAGTAAAAGTTAAATTTTAAAGGAAAGGAACTTAACATATTATTAATTTTTCTTTGGCAAATAATATATTTGTTTTAAAAAATATTTTTATTTGCCTTTTAAATTACAGGTGTAAATTTTGAAACAGACTACCGTTTTCTTTTAAATAAATATTTAGAAATTTTGTCAGAAATTCTCTACAAAAAAGACTTCTAACTAAAAAAATGTCTTCCGTTTTACTTGACATTTTATTTAAATTTGATTATTTTGTTTGTATATTAATTGGGTTTCCTTTAAATATTCTTCTGATTATTTTAATTATTTTTAAAACGCCAAAAGAAATGAAAATACACAGTCGAATTCTGATACAGAGTTGTGTTTTGGATATTTTATTGTTGACTGTACAATCGCTTCTTCAAGTGGTAATAAAACAAAAATAAACCAGAAAGTTAATTAAGATAATAGAAAATCATAAATTTAAAACAAATCATAAATTAAAGATGAATAAGTCAGAGGTGTATAAACCAAAATAATTTTTAATTAAAAATCAGAATTAAATTTTAAAAAGCCATAAATAACACTAAAAGAATGTTAAGGATAATAGTGTAAGGAATTACCTAGAAGCATTTAAAACGCTTAGGCTGTGATTATATGATTTATAAAGAGAAAAGATAAAGCATTAGTGTTAGAGCTTTTAGTGGTAGAGCTTTCGAGAGCTTTTTTTTCTAACACTCTACGATTAGTGGTAGAGCTTTTGCATGGTTTAAGCGTGGTAAGTGAGCCAGGGTGGCCCTTTACGAAACACTAAAATAGGGCGCAGTCACTCAAAAATAGGGCAAAAATAGGGCGAAATCGGTTAAAAATATGGCAAAAAATAGGGCATAGCTTTAAAATCTCAAAAATAATTAAAATTTCAATTAAGGAGCTTTATTCTATATATTTTTATTATTTTTAACTAAATTGAGCAAATGGAGGGATATAGAGGGGTTGGTAGCAATTATGAGAGGATTTGGGGATTAAAAGATTATCGAGGGGATTTAGGATTAACAAAGTTATCTAAGATGGATAAATGTTAGAAACTATTGTAGTTATCTAGGGTTTTATGAGGATTCAGTGATTTGGGGGGTAGTAGAAACATCGGGTATTTTTACATCAAATTTTGGTGGATTAAGTGCTGGGATTGGTGGATTAAGAGAGATATCGAGGCATTCGGGGATTTCCCCCGTTGTCCCTTCATATACACTAAATCAATATAAATTACGTTATATCCAACTTAATCTTCTATTCACCTTAATCCTCCTATACACCATTAATCTCTGAAATCCATTGATATCTCTCATTGATATATCTCTTTATCAATACTAATCCCTCGTTATCCAGTCAGATCCCTGATAATCCTAGTAAATCCTCCTAAATCTTCTATAGTAAAACGCCTTATATTCCACTCAAGCCCTTCCAATCCCTCAATTTCAAACAAAGTCTTCACAGATTCTTTCTTTTTAAGCGCCGCAGGCAAAAATTAGGGAATTTTGTAAGGCCAAGAAGCCAGATTTCTTTGTTTTTTTGCGCCGCAGGCGAAAATTTTACGAATTTTGGAAGGCCGTGATGCCAGATTTCTTACTTTTTCTGCCATTTCATTTACGAAATTATAGAATTGTAAAAATTTTACAAAATGGTAAAAATAGGGCAAAAATATGGCAAATGTAAAAATAGGGAAAAAATAGGGCGGAAAGGTCGAAAATAGGGCAAATGCCCTGTAAATAGGGCAAAAGGGCCACCCTGAAGTGAGCACTCAAATTAAATCCTGTCCAGAGTGACCATTTTACCCTATTTATAGGGCATTTGCCCTATTTTTGAACTTTTCGCCCTATTTTTTTCCCTATTTTACCATTTGTCATATTTTTGCCCTATTTTTAACATTTTGTAATATTTCTAAAGTTTTTTAGGATTTTGTAAAAAAATGGTAAAGATGAAGGATTTCTGACTTCCTAGCCTCCAAAATTCTGAAAATTTTCGCCTGCGGCGCTAAAAAATGAAGAAATCTGGCTTCTTGCCTTCCAAAATTTTGAAAAATTTTGCCTGCGGCGCTGTAAGGGAGGAGGTTACTAGCTTATTATTATATGTAGATTGGCACGAACAGGATGAAGTACGGGATTTTATTCAGCTATTTGGAAGTTTGTTTAATGTAATAGTTCGAAGTTGGTCAGCATTGGAGGCTCATTTTCGATTTGAAAGCAAGTGTCTAAGATTTCTTAGAAAAATATTTTTTGCTGAATCAACTCACAGCATTTTTCTGTTGCTAATTCCTTTGTATCCATTAAACTTAATTCTGAGTTTATTGTACTCAGGCATATGATCATTGTATTTCTGATTCCGATTTGATCAATCTACTTAAAACTAGTGAAAAGTGGTTTAAAATAAAGCTTTTTATTTGAAATTTTAATTAATTTTAAGCTTTTAAAATAATTCCCTATTTTTTGCCCTATTTTTGACCAATTTTGCCCTATTTTTGCCACATTTTTGAGTGGCTGCGCCCTATTTTAGTGGTTTGGAGATGGTCACCCTGATCCTGTCCTTTGGCTAAACTTTTGCTAAATTCTTACTATAGTTTGTCTAATACCAGAATTAATTTAAAATGAACACCAGAATTAATATCAATTTTAAAATTATTTATAGTTTTATATCCTTGATGCAGAAGGGAATGCAATTACAATTTTTCCCAATGGAATTTTGCTTTGTTTTATGAAAGAAAATTTTAATCCGTTTATCTCTTATATTATTTATTTCGTTTGGGCATTTATTTTTTATTTAAATTTACATGGATTGTGTGTTCAATTTATTTATAGATATTTAGTTTTGAACAAGTAAATACATATATTAAAATAATTATTAAATAAATACACGAAAATATTTTTTACATAATCTTTTTAAACTTAAAAATATGTATTCTTAGGAATATAAAAATTACTTTTCGTCGTTATTTATTTATGGTGTCCATTGCTTTATTTGTGCAAACATTTTATATCTTGGATAGTATTTTCTAGAGATGTCCGAGACTCTTGGTCTTGGTCTTGGAACCAAGACTTTTCTTGGTTTTTTTTCGGTCTTGGTCTTGGTCTTGGTCTTGGGGTGTTTGTCTTGGTCTTGTCTTGGTTTTATTTATTGGTCTTGGTTTTTTGGCCTTTTTGGACCTAGTGCTTGGCCATCCAAAATCCTCAAAATTTTCGCCTGCGGCGCAGAAAATGGAAGAAATCTGGCTTCTTGAGTCCCAAAATTCAAAAAATTTTCGCCTGCGGCGCTGAAAAAGTGAATTTTTTGGCATACGGCCTTTCAAAATTCTCAAAATTTTCGCCTGCGGCGCTGGAAAATGAAGAATTCTGGCTTCTTGGCCTTCCAAAATTGTACAAATTTTCGCATGCGCGCAAAAAGATATGGATAAAATAGAGGATGGATATCAGCAGCCACCCACCATCACCTAATCACCCAGGTCACCCAACTTCATACTATTCCTTTTGATCCCTCATAATCCACTTAAATTCCCCTTTAAACCTCGATATCCTCCTTAATCCAAGGGCGTAGCCAGGGGGTCGATTTCGAATGGGAGGGGCTAACGTTGGGTTTCACCAAAATTTTGGCTTTACCTTGGCGTTCCAGACGTAAAATCCCACGACATTCCTCATAATTCACTAAATCCCACGGCAATCCCTCTTAATCCTTTGATATCACTAATATCCAGTTAATCCACCCAAATCCTCTGAAATAATAACCTATTTTATTGATTTTCCACACAAATAAATTCCCCGAAATTCTTTGAATTTCGCATAAATTTTTCGAAATTATAGATAATTGTGCTGAAGTTGACTGTGATCGTATCAAAATAACAAAAAATAAACCAAAAATTTGACCTATGGGATTTAAAAATTTGGTCTTGATTTTTGGTCTTGAGTCTTGGAGTTTTGGTCTTGGTCTTGAGTCTTGATCTTGGAAAAAATTTTATCTTGGGTCTTGAGTCTTGAGTCTTGGAAAAATTTCGGTCTCGGACATCTCTAGTATTTTCTTTGTAATGCCATATTCAAATGGAGGTTTTAAATATTTCGTTAATTTTAACGAAACATGGCCATTTACTCAATATAAAATTGAAACGGTTATTTTTAAATTAATTTACTTTTTTTTTAACTTTAAAACAAAAATAGGTGAATATTCTAACACTATCACCTATAACATTAATTGAAATACTTGCATATTTAATAATATTTATTTGTGGATTCAAAATGGTTAGATATGTCAATTTAAACACTAATCTTGATGGAAATTTAAAAAAATTGAATAAACTTTTAACAAAAGTTTTGCTTATTTTGGTAAGACTTTTAACATTTCTCATAGTAAATTTTCTGTCTTATTAATACTTTCAAAAATTATTTAAGAGAGAGAATGTTCATTCAATTGAAAATATTTTTTAATTAATTTTTAGGCTTTTGTACCATTTGTTAATCAAGCTGGAATTTTATTTTCTATAATTTATACAAAAACAAGCAACAATACAATAAATATTATTCGAATATTATTTTTCATTTTATTTCATTTAACACCTTTATTTAACCCAATTATTTGTATTTTAACAAACACACCATATCGAAATGCTATTTTCAATCGTTCACAAATAAGTCCACAATAAATTTATTAATGCCCAAATGATTTATAATTATTTTTGTATTTTTACTCAAATTGTTTTTTCGTGAAATAAACTTTCTTTTGAAGCGTTTACTTCTAATCACTCACTTCCTATATTCGGCTGACTAAATCGCACGCGGCCGAGATTACCATACATGTTTATTTTACTCTTATCTACTAGAGTATGATTTCAGGCTTTTTTTTCGCCCAGAGGTATAAAAACACCTCTGGGCGATGCTGATTAGTTTCGTAAATATTTCGACTACGAACCTGTGTTGCGGCGAGAGAATATTTTACGGACAGCCCTTGTTTGTCTTTATCTGAACAACTAACTTTAGTTTATGCGCTCAACTTTGAATTGATGAATTGACATCATTGTGGATGTTCTAATTAATTAGGTTAATATTATCCAACCAACCCAACAAATTTTAAACGGTTTTCATAATCTAATTATTTCCATTTAAAATTTAAGTATCTAAACCAAATTTATAATTTTTTTTCCATAATGTAGAGCAGGGTCGATTTCTATACCTAACTTTTGGTTTTTTGACCCTGATATTGAAATTAAAATGTTCAAACTCATAAGAGAAAAATTTTACTGATAATTGATTGTGATAATTGATTGTGATCATGATAACTAATATATTCACCAAATATATAATTTTTTCTTTTTTTTTTATATTTACAAAAACTCGAAATTTCTTAATTTCCTCCACTAAATCGACTGGCTAGAGGGCGATTAACACTTCGTTGCATTCGGCTATTATATGAAGGATTGATGCTGTTTGGTGGAGAATATAATTTTTTAGCTAATTTATGCAGATTTTTGCCAATTATTTTCTTAACATCATTTCTAAATGTTTCGTTACAAAATAAATAAATAAATGGAGGTAGTCCTTTAAAAATTAGTTTTTTAGTTTTTAATTTAAATTATTACCAAATACAAAATAGTTCAAATAATATCCAACAATAATTAATGTTTTACTCATTGGCAAACGTTGCATTATAGCATATAAAGAGCAACAGGCAATATTTATACCGCAAATAATAGCAACTTGAATAAACATCTAAATTTGAATTTTGATTAAATATTTTAACGAACAGGCATGTCACTATTCTAAGGAATGTAAAACAGTTATAATCTTAGAATCAACCGGAACGATAGAAAGATAAAATCCTAATGAGGAGCCGTTCGATTTTTTCGAACAATTACATCACCGATAAAAATCCAGTTCCTTTTTTGTTTATTCGGGAATTTTGATTGTCAATCACCCACTAATTTTTATTAATATTTTCAATTCCATTAACCGTTATTTTCCACTTTCTTTGGCTAACATCCACAATCGCTTTAATCTCTCTAAGACGATAAATAAAAAAACAAATGTAGATCAAATAAATAATTGGAAAGCCAAATGTTAAAAACATATTGTACCAAAATGTTACTGGATTTATATAATCGTTAAGATTTACTGTTGATTCAATTGAATAGCTTTGATATCTTTAATTAAAGCTTTTTATTTATAGATTTAAAAACAACGTTAAATGTTTTTATCTTTTAATTTATTTTCAGTTTCCAGGGTCTCAATATTTTGATTTTTATTTTTAATTTCTACTTTGATTACTTATATTAATAGAAGAAATGTTAAAAAATTAATTTAAAATATTTCTCACGGATTCATGAACCAATTCATATAAACAGCATTGTAGAATGCAGGATTTACATAAAAGAAATAATAAAAAGAAAATATGATTGAAAACCCTATCCAAAAAGCAATACGTTTTCCTTTAAATTAAAACAATAAAAGATACTAAATGTGTAAATGTATTTAGGATACCATTAAATAGAAATTCACAAAGTTTTGGGGAAATAAAATCACAACAACGGTCTACAGCCAGAAATATATTTGCAGAAGTCTCCAATGCGAAGAGTGCTTAATTAGTATATTTTATTAAAAGATTAAAGCAATCAAAAATTATCTTAAATTTTTTAGCACTTAAAATTGCTAATTCAATATATGTAGCTAAATTCTCTATATTTAATTTTCTCTTGTTTAAAGAATCTACAGATATTAATCTAGAAAAAGTATGAAAGCTAAGGTGTCGAACTAGTGTAAGAAAATTAAACCTGCTCCAAAAGATCCTGTTACATAATTAAAATTATAATTTGGACAGAACATTTCTCCAGTAAAGTTATATACTCCAGATTCTAATCCATGGAAAAGAAGCATTAGCATGTCCGATATTCCAATAAAAAGGAGTAGTTTATAACATGAATGTTCTGTGTGTTTGTAGATGGCAAATAGACAAGGTAAATAGAGAGCCTATTGGTAAATAAATTAAAAAGGATAATTTTGGGATAATTAAGGGTATTGGGGGTCAGACCTGTATTACAGACCTTTATTTCTAATATTTTATCAAATCGAAAAATTATTTCGAATAATTCAATGTCTTTTTTCAACAGATAAGAAATATTTATTTACCTCGAAAATTACAAAAAGCCCTATAATAATTGTTCCATTTAAAGGATGATAACGTTCAACAAAAGGTACATCATCAACATTAATTCGATTACAATTGTAAAATTTTTCCCATTCCTCTCGGCGTAAAAGATATATTTCCATTTTTAATGGATATATAACTTATTGTTAGTACTTTTAAAAAATAAATTTTCGAAAACTTAATGACTTGTTGAATTAATTTACTTAAATACTACAAGAAATTTCATTTAATGTTGCGTGATAAATGTAAAAATTTAACTTAAATAATAACAATATTTACGTGCAATTCTTATTTTTTAGAAAAATTTTAATAAAAATATTAAGCCAAATCTAATCCTGATGTATTTGAAACAGTTAATTTTGTAGTGTAATAATGAAAGTATTTAAGTGGAAATGTCGTTAAATTTCGTGAAAATTAAAATTTTAAACTTAAAAACTTTACTTTTCTAGTCTACATATGTTTCAGAAAAGTGCTTCGAAAGTACTGTAGAGGATCTCAATTAAAATTATTTTATAAATTACAGAAAGAGTTTAGCAAAAGTTTAGCCAGCGGGCAGGATTGAACCTGCGATAACGCTGACAGTGATCGCTCGGCCTTGCTCACACAAGAGGTGCTCACCACTGAGCTACAGGGGCTCTATAGATGAATCATTCTTACATTACCTATTAAATATATAAATTATACATTAATTTCAAAATTTCTCTCCATATTCATTTCTAACCAAAAAATAAAAAAAAAACAACCACGTGGTCCTCTTTGAATTGCCTATCAATTTATTAACAAAATTTATTGCTTTTTACATTTTCTTAGAGTTTGGGGAAACCGTTTAGGTGACTGTTTCTTTGAAAAATATTTTTACAAAATTGCCTTTTACTCTTTCTTTCTATATCTTATCTACTATTATATAGTTTGTTGATTGATATTTAATTAATTTATTTGTTTGTTTGTTCGAAAAATTAAATAAATTGTTAATTAATGAATATTCTTTGAATATTAATTACTTTAAGTATATGTAGTCTTAATTTAAATATTTTTAGATATAATATTAGAGTAGCTAAATAAAATAAAATAATTAGACTCTTGCTCGGATTTATAACACAGTGGCCCTTGGTTTGATTTTGTAACGAAAAGAAAAAAGGGGTGATTAAATTTAAGAATGAATATATTCAGTGGAGAGATTGTTTCCTAGAGGGCAGTCGAGTTTATAAGATAAACATATCAGGATGCCACTTTTTCCATTTCTGTTCTTCCTAAATAACTGGTTCTCTGTAACCTTGTTTTCGAAATGAAAAAATTTCTCATTTTGCTGCTGAATGGCAATTGCTAGAAATCATTACATATTCAAACTCTTGGAAAAAACTTGTATTAACAAGAGAACTAAACCCTAACAATAGCAACACAAAGCTAGACAGAGATATCTTCCTCTTCTAAAATAGAAAAATGAAGAAAAATTCTGAATCATCAGTTTTTACGCTTTTTAGAAAAAGTTTGAAATAGACATAATATTTACATTTCCGGTCTTCTTCATTTACATTTTTGTGTTTTAACTTCCAAAAATTTTTACCAAAAATAAGTTGCAAAAATAAATTTACGTGGTTCTATATCTAAACTAATAATTATTTAAATATCCAAATTATTCCAAATTAGATTCTTTAACAATTATTGATAAAAATTAAAATACTAATTATTACCTTTTAAATTTTAATTTAGATATTTCCAAAATTTAAAACGTGTTTAAATTTCTATTTTAGGAATTAAACAATAATTGCCAATATGTAAACGTCAGTTAAAAATTAAATACCATGTACAATTAAAATGCTTCCAAATTGAAAATGCTTAGCATTATTTAAAAATGCTTTTTGTCTAGAGAAAATTAAATTACTTTTACAAGATATTAAAGATTAATTTTAAAATTTAAAATTTTCTCGTGACATTATATAATATCGTGTTTTATTTCTAAAATCCGACAGGAATTGTGCTAGATATAAACATTCCTTGTGGCTTTTTGGGGCATTCTTAGCTTTTTACTGTAAATTTTCAGAGACAAAATTCTAATGTAGCCTAGATACTGTTTAAACTGAATTTTAAAGTAAAACTAGAAGATTACTACTATATTTACTTGATTAATTCCCTAATTAAATTAATGCATCATCTTAGGGATGAGTTAAAAAATAATTTCCCCAATAATCCTCTCTTTACATATCTAATTTCGAGGAATAAATCGTTTAAGTACGGTATACCTGTAAAATTTGTTAAATAAAACTAAGCTATTTTAGAGTCAAGAAAAAATCGGGAACAGGCCATATTACCGCAGAGCTATAACTTCGTTCAGTATTGTTGAATCCGGGACACCCTGGTATGGTTCGTGCGCCTCGACGAGCTGAATCGAAGCATACCAGGTCATCCCGGATTCCATTTTTAACGAAGTTATAGAAATCATTGGGGTGTACCCTTAGAAATCCTTCCAAGCTTTAAATTTTTTTTTCATTTCCCAGATTTTAGACTGTTAGTATTTTTATTACGATAACAGCAATTATTAAATTTATCTCTCACTGAGTATTTTAAAATAGGGCTGACTTACAATTAAAATGCTATCTGTTTCCTTTTTCATAATTTTCTCTTTTTAATTCTCCAAAGGGGTTGTACATATGTACTTTTTTTCTAAATTTTTATTTTAATTACTTTCTGTCACACCGTTTCAACGAAAATTCGATACAAATATTTTTGTTTATCGTCAACACTTTACAAATAATTTATCCCGTCCCAACAATTTCTTCAACAAATTTTTTTACTTTTTTCCGACCACGCGGTATATAATTAATAAAAGGGAGAGGGGTAATTATCATTTAAACATTACCTGCTTCTTTTAAATATTTCTAAATTAACGTAATTCCCGCCCCTTTAATTTAAATAATATTGCAAAAATAACATTAAAATATAGACAATATAAACACGCAAAAGTCTGCCATATGAAAATTAATATATTTTTATTTAAAAACAAAATATAAAGCTTATTCTTGTTTGTTAAATGTTAAAAATATTTTTATTTTTATTAATATTATTTTTATTTATAATTGTCCACTAATTTTTACATAAATTAGAAAATACCTAAGATTTTTACTTTTCCAATTTTTTCAAATATGACAAAAATTTTAAAGCAAATTTTTTAAAAATCCCAACAAAAATTTTTTCAAATATTCGTTTTATTTTGCAGAAATCTTTAAAATTATTTGAAATAATAGGCTTTCGAGTTTTATTCTTATTGTGATTAATGCCAAAATTTTTGTTCTTTAATTCAGTTAAGATTACTTGTAAATAAGTATTTTGAGTTTAATTTAATTTAAATTTGTCAGCACAAAATTATTAGAAATTTATATTAAAGTTACCTTATTTATTGGGTATATTTCTGTTGTTAATTTTAATCAAAAATTGGTCTATTAACAATAAATTTAAATAAAATTATCTGGTAATTTTCTGCTGAATCCCTGCAATTAAAATACGTAATAATTGTGCCTATTAAAATTAAATAAATTTAAAATCAAAAAATTATTTTTAAATATTTTAATAATTTAAATTTATTAAAAATAATTTTTAGATTATTTTATAATTAAAAAAAAGTTAAAAATTAAAATAACCATCACTTACTTATAAATTACCAAAAAAATGTTTATATTTATTTTACAAAATTATCTTCAACTACTAACAAACAACGGAAATAGTAATAAATTAATTAGAGGCACGAGGTTTATTTTATGGTTATTGGCCGCATCTTTCCTTTTTCTGATAATTATTGCTGTTAAACATTCTGATGCAAAACCTTTGGTTGGCAACAATTTTTACAATTTTGCTGAGCAAAGTTTGGGTAAATTACCTATTAATTAGGATATTTTTTGAAATTTAAAAAATAAAAAATAAGAATATTTTTTTACAAAATTTTTTAGTGTTGTTTACTATTTTCATTTTTAGTTCTCACAAAAATAAAACCTGATTAACAAAAATATTTTTTGTAAATTTATTTTTATATATAAAATAAACAATTTTTTTAACTTACAAACAAAAATAGAAAAATAAAAATTATCTATTTATTTGCCAATTTATTATTGATAACCAAATATATTTTATATCATTTACTGAAAAAATATATAAAAATAAACCAAAAATCGTTTGAAAAAAATTTTTAATTTTCAGATAAACGAGAACCTAATAAAATGTTGCACAGACGTGAGTTAAGTGGATTAAAACGTCTGATAGACGAGATTGTACGTTCGGGATATGATGGAGGTGCGGCTTTTCGTCCAGGAAAATAAATTAATTTTTTTGAAGAAAAAAAAAGTAATTAATGTCTAGAAATTAAATAAAAATAAATTAAAAATAATTAATTAAATATATATTTAGTTTATAATAATTAATAAATAGAAAATTAGTTTTTTTTAATAATTTAAATACGCACTCATTTTAATCAAAACAAATACATCTGTATTTAAAATTTTATTTTAAAAAAATCTCATTCATTAAATCTCCATTTTATTAATTTAATGAAAACAATCCCAATTATTTTATAAATTGTATTTTTCTATCATTTTCATTTAAATATTATTTATTATATTTATTTTTATGATATTTATGTTTGATAAATCTTTTTTTTTATAAATTTAATTCTAAAAAATTGGCATAAAATTAATTAAAATAGTTAATACAGTACCGAAATAATCAAAATCCTTACGAAAATTTGTCTCGGACCTATCTACAAGAAATTGGAGAATAGGCCCAATAAAACTGGTTAAGTATGATATTTTTAAATACATCATACGATAATATAGTTTAAGGAGGAAGGGAGATCCAGCTGATTAGCATCTACAGGAGGGTTTAGGATTTAATAAAAGCGTAGGCTAAAGCAGAGCCCCGGTAGTTTAAACTCGAAAGGTAGATTGAGCTTAAACTTGTAGTAATATACGCCAAGAGGTAACATGATAAGTGGCTGCACAAGCACTTTTACCCCCAGGGCCCGTACTATAAGAACGAGTCGTAGATTTGGTACTATAAGAATCTGGTCATTTGCCCAGGTCATTTAACCCATACAGAGAGCCAATTTGGTACTATAAGAGGCTTGGTATTTTTTCTTCTTGCTTACCACGAACCAACTTCTTATAGTACCGACTAAAAATGAGAAAATATTTGGCTGTATTTTGACTTGAAATGCCAAAAACAAAATAAAAGATAATTATCAGACTAAATAAAAAAGTAAAAACTGAATGAATTTTTATGGTCTCTCTTTGTTTGAATTCTGAAATTCTTAACAATTTGAAAAAAAACTACTTAAGGGGGTTGAGTCAAAAAAATTTCAGAAAGATAAAAACTTAAATTTTACACCATAAGATAGAGGAGATAATTCTCTATATATAAATTGAGAGAAATTTAAAAATTTCTCAATTTTCCTTAAAGTTATAGAATTTTTAAAAAGCCTGCCAAACTTTTAAACGCTAAAATTGGCTAAAAAAGGGTACCTTGCGGTTTCCCTTATAACTCAAGAAATAATTATCCAAAAATTCTGAAATTTTTATAGGTTATTGAACACACTCTAAAGAATTTAAATTTAAAATTTTGTAATTTTACTATTTTTTCGAACCGAGTTATAGACTTCGGAATTTTTGCTAACCCTGCTATAGAGCAGGGTCTGAGATTTACCACTCGGTAGGGGTTAAATGACCAAAAAGTGCTTTTCATATAGTACGGGTTAACCAAAGGGCAAATGACCTGGTTAAATGACCTGGTCATTTGACCAAAAACCAGAGGTTTTTCTTATAGTAGCAAAGGTACCTCCGGTAACCGGTTAAATGACCACAAACCACGTTCTTATAGTACGGGCCCAGGTATAACGTACATTTGTATAAGAAATATTATTTTCAATTTTAACAGAAGGTATTTTATATTATTAAAATAAATTTACTATTAATTTTAAAGCAATAAACAAAGTTTAGATTTTGTTTTTTGTTGTTTATTTCCATTCTTAATTTGATTTTCTGCTTTTTCTTTTTTACTCAATTTCTTTTTTGTTTTTTGTGGTAATGTGCCGTTTTGCTAAAGTTTTAAATAAATTTTTCTTTTATTTTTTAAAATATTTTTACTTGAAAATTATTATTATTATTTTCTCTATTATTTTCTTCAAATCCTCTATTAGATAAACTGTCGTGCTCTGTCCCATCTAGAGGATTTGTTTCGTCTTGAATTATTGTTAATTCTTTTCTATCTACTGTTTTCTCATCTAAATCAGACAACTGATCCGGGCATATATCACTATGAAGTTCCTTTGAAATTAAAACAAAAAAGGATTTTTTAAGGGATTATAAAATGATAATAATTTTTTAGTTTTAGCAAAAATTTAATTTAATTTTAAAGGAATTTTAAAATAAACGACATATTTTTTATTAAAATTGAGGTATGAGACTTGAAATGTTTGGATTCTGTAAATTCACAAATTTTATAGCCAAATTATGGGTTAGAGTCGGTTGATGGTTGAATAAGGTTAACGGCACAGGGCCGAAAAATGCCAGGATAAACGTAAATTTTCGGTTCGAATACCGGTTCGAACTATAACCTGCGATCTTGCTAAAATTGCCAATTTAGGCCATGATTTCCTTTTATTTTAATGTACAATTAAAAAAATATTTTTTAGACCTGATAACCATCAATACTTTGGTGTGCTTGTCTAGGTCTGTCACAAATTTCCCAAACACTTTTTCTATCATTTCTTTCCAAAAAATTAGTTCTCATCATTCCCTTTCCCTTAAATCCAAATTTAATTTATAAATTCTTTTCAAAGAAAACAACAAACTTTCATTTCAATATTTCCCCTTTCTGTAAATAAAAATGAAGGATTTGTTTTGATTGCCTGAGATCTAGCAGATTCGCTAACATGTATTTTCGAGGGAATTCCAGAGGATTCCATTCGATTAGCTAATTGCACTGTATCTCCAAATAAACAATATCTTTACATAATAAGTAATTTTTATTAGCATATTTCAGTTAAAAACAACTTGCCTTGGCATCTATAAAAATTGAGATTTAGGTATATTAAATAATTTTGATTTTTAGAGACATTATTTTAGAAAGGTTTTGATTTCTTTGAAAATAAGATTGGGATAATAAACTTTCTAATTGACATTTTAATGTATTAGTTAATTTTAGCCAATACAGCAATTTGATATTGTGTGCAGAAAATTAAAAATATTTTCAGAAAAACTATTCCGAGTAAATAATTAATTTTTGAAAATTAATTTAATAGATAATGAGATAATTTCAAAAAGTTTTGTGTGTTTATTTTATTAATTTTACGTATTCTCAAAAATACCTTAACACCAACAACGCCAGCTACAACAGAACCAGAATGCACCCCAATACGTATGCGAATAGGTGTTTTTGTAATTGGATTAACAGCATAAAATATTTTTTTAATTTTATAATTTAATTAATTAATTTATTTACATATCGAGATTCCATTAACATTCCAATAGAAACGTCAAGTACTTTTTCTGCATGATTTCTTCGTTCACTTGGCACTCCACCAACAATCATATAAGCATCACCTTTTTTAAATTTATTATTTAATAGAAAATGTAATTTTATTATTTTTAAATGGACAGTACGTGCTTCTTATTTATAAAATAAAGATAATTTTGTTTAGACGTACTGAGTCCAAAAAATTTCGAAGATTGAATTTTAAGCAAAATTATAGCTTGCAATTCATCAAGTGTGGGAATGAAAATTTTATTGAAAATTTTGCTCTTTAATTGTTCAGTCGTGTCTACTTAATAAATCTAACTAAAAACAGACCAATAGTTTCCACCTTATAAACATCGTGGATTCCAACAATTCGATCAAATCGTTGATACAAATCATTTAATAGATTAACTACATCCTTTATAATAGTTTAGTTAATTTTAATTAAATTAAACAAACATATGGAGTGCATAATGAACAGATATTGGTGAATGTGACTATCTAAGTATGTTTTTTTGAAAAATAAAAAATTAAATAGTATTTTATGTCAATTTATTGAATATTTAAAAATCCTTCTTATCAGATATTTAAAAGGATTTTCCTTATTTTTGTTTTTTCCGAGGAAAGAGGTGTTTCTTTCAACATAGACATGTTTCTTGGCGTTTGGCGCTAATAAAGGTGCTCTACCAACTGAGATATTTTAGTACAATTAAACTCAATTAATTAAATCAAAATTACCCAATCTCTATTAATTAACTTACATCAGTAAAAAGAATTGTCGCTTCGGGGAATTCACTAGCCTCGACAGTATTCCCCTGTCTGAGAGATTCAGCCACACTTGGAGGCATTAATTCACAGAGTAGTTCCTACAAAATTACATTAAAATCAAATATAATTTTATTTAAACATCGGTTCGTTGTTTTTCTGTTTTTAATGCATTTGCCATACATTTTAAATTTCTGGTTGTTTCTTCTAAATTCCGACTTTAAAATAAAAAAATTACAATTTAATTTTAAATTCTCTAGTAATCTTACTTTAATTCTACTTGTGACATTCTTGACTGATTCAACATTATTAAATCTCGAGTGCTATCGTGACCTTTTTATAAATAAATTTTTGATTTGTTTATGATTATTAATTAAATTCTGGTTATAAATTTTTTGTAAATTTTAAAATAAAAATACGTTGAATATCCGAAAGGAAGAGATTCCGCTCAATTAGTTCTCTTAAATTTAAAAGAATATTGAAAAGGATTTAGTTTTTGTTTCTAATTAGTGCCTTATAGTTGTCACATTAAGAGAGCACATATAAACCATATATTTATTTTCTGCCACTAAATGCATTGAACCTATAAAATTGAGAAAATAAACTTTAAATTTACTTTGAATTTAAAAAATAAATTATTGGATACCTTTTATTGTTATAGCCATTTGTTGACTCTTAACTTCATCTGATCTGCAACTACTGGGCTTTGAACTTCCCTGACTTAATTCATCACGAAGACGGAAAACAAAAAGACTTTAAATATTTATTTTAAAACTAATTTAAAAAATTTATTTTCACCTATTTCTGAATGCCATTATTGAATCAAACGATAGAGGAATTTCTGGATGGACTCTGAAAAATTAAAATATTTTGTGTAATTTTATAAAAATAAAACAATTCAAGTATGTCTTCAACACGTGTTTCGCCTCTTTGAATTAATGGAAATAGTCGTCGAATATAAATACCTATTTTCGAAAAAAATATTTTCTTATATTGAAATTAATTAAAGTAAAATTTTTTTTAAACTTGCCAACATGTTCAATACGTAATTCTTTGTCAAAACAAAAATGATGAGGAAAAGCTTTACAAAAATCATCAATTTTTGTATAATAATTAGAACAAACCTTTAAATATTTTAGAAAGTTAATAATAAAAATTAAAAACAAACATTTGTAAATTCTGATGAGATAGTTGAACTACTAACTGTTCTGCTAGCAATAGACCGGAAAGCAGCAAGGGAATTTTCTACCTTAAAATTTTGTTTTTGTATATTTAATTTATACTGCCAAACAAATATAGGTACATACTATTTATGAGTACTTTAATTTTAAATATTATTTCCTCAACATGCTTATTTTTAAGCATGTCACGATAATGACGGATATGCATACTGACGGATATGCACAAAATATTCGCAATAAATACTTAAATTAAAATTTCCCTTTGTTTTTACTTCCACCAATAAGCCATCTGATGATCCAAAAAATTTTTTGTTTTAACATATTAATTTAATAATCGAATAATCAAATAAACAAACTTGATTAATAACAAAAACAACATGTTCAGTAATTAAAGAATCAACATGTTCTTGCTTTCGTTCTTGTACTTTCATAATAACTTCTGTCTCGTAAATACGTCTAGCAACTTCACGAATGACTCCTTACAGAAAATGTTTTTTTGTCGAAATAAAAGATTATCGTTACCCTTAACAATTGGATATAATCCAGATCTTCTTGAATAATAATGTAGAATAAGTGAACCATCTGGCTGTGCTTCACAACGAAATGCTGGACCTTTCAGTTTTGTTCTGTATACAACGTGGTCAATAAACTAATAAAGGAATTTTTAATTAATTCAATTATGAATGTTTCGATACTCACATAATGTAAAGAATCCAGTGTATCCAGAAATCCCTAGGATTATTAGGTTAGTATTTTGGATTGAATTATTTTTTGAACATAAGTTTTTAAAAAATTCTATTAATCATCCTTACACTTGCTTTAAAACGAAAGAGAGCCTACAATAAGCTAAGGGAGCCTATCATCCTTGTAATAAAGCTTAAACCTCCAGTTATGAATTTAAATACCAAAAACATCCTCCCCTAAGTTAGATCAATTTTTTATTATTTACCGCCAACAAATAAACTAAATAATTTCAATTATTCATAAGTACAATCAAATTTTGTCAAAATATAATTTTAGGGATTTGAAGAAAAGTTTCTATTCTTTATTATTTTTGAGTATAACATTAATTTTTAATAATTTTATTTACCTCCAAATCAGGAGATAAAGCCCGTAATAATTCATTCCAGCCAGTCTCCATTGTAAATTGTATAAGAAACCCTCCATATGCCTCCCAAACCTCTTCAACAGGAATACCAATAACAGAACCCATTGCCGAAACAAGACGAAAGGATTCTTCATCTCTATAATATTTTCCTATTTCGCTTTCTGTTCCTTCCTCAAATTTTGCTATTTCTCTATAAAAATTTGGAAAATTTATTTTTATTTAATACATAAATTTTTAACAGAATCTTCAGCCAGGTTTCTCGACCATATTTGCGATTTACCAACTGCCGAAAGCTTTCATGTACCCAACCAAACTATTAAATATTGTTTTATTATTATGTTATCATTGAAATTAAAATTATAGATTTCTTATATAATATTTAAAATGAGTTAAGTAAGCACTAAAAAGATTTGAGAGATAAACTAAAATTAATTAAATCTATTTATGTATTAAGAGAATGGAAAGTTTCTAGATTCTAAAAGAGCCACACAAGAAGTAGTCTTTACTAAACTTGAAAAAACTTTTAAATTTAGAAAAGAAGCCAATATTAATTTTCCTATTATATATTATTCTTTAAAAATTACCATTAATTATAAATTAAATATAAAGATGTAAGATTAAATTTTCTGGATAAATTTTGCAATTTTTGAGAAATAATTTTATTAATAATATTTTATAGAATTAATGTTGAATATTTTTCAACATTTTTTTAAATTAATTTATATTCTGACAGATTTATTTGTATATTATATTAATATTTTTTATTTTTTTTCAAAGCTTCCAGCAAATAAATTAATATATAAATGATATGATTGACTATAGTCACGCAAACTTTAAATATATTTATTCAAAAGATAGTTAAAGTTTTCTATAAATATTTGATTAAATATTTATATTATTATTAAATATATTTTTTACTAAGATCTTAAATGGTTGTACGAAATATAAAATTAAAATTTTTTATTTTTGTACGGATATCCGATCTTTCCAAATTTAATATTATGACTATTTTTACTTAAGTATTTTTTTAATTTATTTAATAGTCCTTATAAAGTATATCTATCATTAATTTTGCACTTAATAATTAAAATTTCTTTCCTTCTTTTTTATTTAAGACAAATTTAAATTAAATTTTTTATTGATATTACTCATTTATTGTTTTGTATGTTTGTTTAATTACTCAAAATAAGAAAAAATCTCTCCCAATTAACTGGTTTTTCTTCATTAGACTGAATACATTCATTCTTTTAAATTTAAAGTTGATAAAATTTAATAAATACTTTTGTCTATAAAATTTTGGAATAATAAAATTGGCGATTCTTTATTTATTTTAATTATTGTTTAACTAACATTAGACAAAAAAAGTTCAATAAATTTGTTTTTAAAATAAATTTTAAAATCTAGTAAGGAAAATTGTTAACTGGACGTATGTAAAGCTGACATAAATGCGCGGAGTACACTGAAATAAAAATCATGATTTGGAGAAATTTCCTTTCCTATAAGTACAAGTGGACTATTAAAAATTTAAAAATTGATAATAAATTTTTAGCATAATAAACATAAAATTAAAAAAAACTGAAATATATTCATAATTTAAAGAATTAAAGAAACAATTATGTATCGTCAAATTCTAATTTCTTTTATTCTTCTTGTTAATCTTTTTATTCTCCCAGCAACTTTAAATGCTCGAGTTATGAAAGAAAGGGTCGGTTTATCAATTAAGGAAGAACAATTAATGCCTGAAATATCTACTATAATTAATAGGTTTTTATTTTTTAATTCAATTTAAATTTTTATTTTTACAGGAAGAAGAGAGTTTCAAAATTTTTAAAAGGCGCAGCAATTGCTGGCGGATTGGCCGTTGCTGGCGCTGTTGCTTATAAGGCTTACAAAAATTATAAAAAAAATCAAGAACAACAAGCAGCTGGAACTACAGGAAGAAAATGATTTGAGAAAGATGCTTGAAGAGAATATTTTTAAAATACTATAACTAATAAATATAAAATAAATTTTATGTAGATTGTTTGTTTTTTAAATAAGTATTTGATCGGTTAAAATATTTGTAATATTTCCTGCTTTATTAGAATAAATTTTAGTTGAATGAATTCCAAAATTTGTAGAACTAATTCTAATTTTTGGATTGGCGTTTTTAATTTAAACTTTTTTTAAAAGGTAAAGGGATAGGTCGAAGCATTTTTTCGTTATCGCAAATTCAACCTCCGATGAATTTTACCTATTAAGATATTATGATTTGAGTCAAAAATACTTCTATTTCGTCGCAGTCAAATAAAAACTCAAAATAAAATATAAAAAATATCTCTTATTTTTAACAGGTTTTTCTTAATTAAAATACACACATTCGTTTAAATCATTTTTTAAATTTTAAAATTGATTAATTAAATTTAATAAATACTTTTGGCTATAAAATTATGAAATGATAAAATTGTCTAGTCATTTTTTAAATTTTATTTTTTAATATATTCACAAATACTATTTTGTTTTTTAAATAAATTTTAAAAATAAATAAAGTTGAGAAATGATTATATTTTGGCCATTTTTATTTTTACTCGTATGTACTAGGTACGAGTGCGAATTTGTACTACTAGGTACTTTTTTTCTACCCAGACGGATGTAAAGCTGGTAGATTTCGGAGAGCTTAACCTAAAAATTCCAAAATATATTTATATTTTAAAAAATTAAAGAAAACAATTATGTATCGTCAAATCCTAATTTCTTTTATTCTTTTTGTTAATCTTTTTGTTCTCCCAACAACTCTAAATGGCCACGTTATGCAAGAAAAAGTTGGTTTAACAATTAAGGAAGAACAATTAATGCCTGAAATATCTACTATAATTAATAGGTTTTAATTTTTTAATTCAATTTAAATTTTAATTTTTAAAGGAAGAAAAGAAGTAGGCCTTGTTTCCGTACGATTGGTTCCATTGCTGCAGGTTGTAATCTCATTAAAGCAATCCAAAGAAATAAAAAAGATTAAACAACAAAAAGCAGCTGGGTTACATAAAGAAAATGATTTGAGAAAGTGTTTGAAAAATAAATTTTAAAAATAAATAAATTTACTCTCATACCTCGTACCACCTTCCATATTTGGCAATTTTTTATACATGTGCTAGGTACTGAAAGAAACTAGGAGTTGCTACCCAGATGCCGGGGAGCGTAACCTAAAAATTCCAAAATATATTTATAATTTAAAGAATTAAAGAAAACAATTACTATGTATCGTCAAATATTAATTTCTTTTATTCTTTTTGTTAATTTTTTTGTTCTCCCAACAATCTTAAACGCTCGAGTTATGCAAGAAAAAGTTGGTTTAACAATTAAGGAAGAAGGACAATTAATGCCTGGAATATCTACTATAATTAATAGGTTTTTAACTTTTAATTCAATTTACATTTTTATCATTAAAGGAAGAGACGACTTAATAAAGCGGCGTTAAGCGGCTCAATGATGGGTGGACAATACACTGGCGCTATTGCTGCTAAAAATATGCTAAGGAATTAAGAAAAAAATAAAACAGTTGGAAAGTGAAGAAAATGATTTGAAAAGATGTTTGAAAATATATCTTAAAATAGTAATAACTAATAATCTGTACAACTTCTATGAAAAATGAATTTTATATATGTAAGAGATTATTTTTAAATAATTATTTGATAGAATAGGTATAATATGTATTTGTAATATACTCAAGCAGAACTGGGCTATAGCTATTGTATCTTTAGTAGACCGAACTGATGTGTTATCCATTACACCGTGCCTCCTACTGCATAGACTAAGGAATTTAATAGCTATATGCTTTACAAATGATTTGGGCATTAAAAAATTTATTGTGGACTTATTTGTGAACGATTAAAAATAGCATTTCGATATGGTGTGTTTGTTAAAATACAAATAATTGGGTTAAATAAAGGTGTTAAATGAAATAAAATGAAAAATAATATTCGAATAATATTCGTTGTATTGTTGCTTGTTTTTGAATAAATTTCAAGAAATAAAATTCCAGCTTGATCAACAAAGGGTACAAAAGCCTGAAAATTAAATAAAAAATATTTCTAATAGAATGGACATTCTCTCTCTTAAAATAATTTTTAGGGGTATTGAAATATAGAATGGCGGTAATTCTATTAGATTTCTACTTAAAATATTCTCGATCACAATTAAAAGTCTTACCAAAATAAGCAAAACTTTAGTTAAAAGTTTATTCAATCTTTTTAAATTTCCATCAAGATTAGTGTTTAAATTGACATATCTAACCATTTTGAATCCACAAACAAATATTATTAAATATGCAAGTATTTCAATTAATGTTATAGGCAATAGTGTTAAAACATTCAACTATTTTTGTTTTAAATTTAAGAACAGTATATTAATTTAAAAATAACCGTTCCCATTTCATATTGAGTAAATGGCCATGTTTCGTTAAAATTAACAAAATATTTAATACCTCCATTGGAATATGGTATTAAAAAGAAAATTAAATCCAAGATATAAAATGTTTGTACAAATAAAGCAATGGACACCATAAATAAATAACGACGAAAAGTAATTTTTATATTCCTAAGAATACATATTTTTAAGTTTAAAAAGATTATGTAAAAAATATTTTCGTGTATTTATTTAATAATTATTTTAATATATGTATTTACTTGTTCAAAACTAAATATCTATAAATAAATTGAACACACAATCCGTGTAAATTTAAATAAAAAATAAATGCCCAAACGAAATAAATAATATAAGAGATAAAAGGATTAAAATTTTCTTTCATAAAACAAAGCAAAATTCCATTAGGAAAAATTGTAATCGCATTTCCTTCTGTATCAAGGATATAAAACTATAAATAATTTTAAAATTGATATTAATTCTGGTGCTTATTTTAAATTGTTTATTTAAATATTATATCTATGTGGAGTTAATATTTTAAATTAATTCTGGTATTAGAAAGCATGAGCATTTCAAATTATTAAGTTTCTACTATGGTAAGAGTTAAGCAAAAGTTTAGCCACAGGACAGGATTTGAAAGAGTGCTCGCTTAGCCACGTTTAAACCATGCAAATGTTCTATAATTAATGCTCTCTCTTTCCTCTTTATAGCTCATTTAAAATAAAAATTCTGCAGGCAATCATCATTAAACTATTATCATTTAAATTCTGATTTTTGTTTCACTTATGTTTTTTTTTATTTAATTCTGATTTTTAATTAAAAATTATTTTGGTTTATACTTATTTTTAAAAATTATACTTATTCTCTTTAAATTATGATTTTTTAAATTTATGACTTTTCTATTATTTTATTAACTTTCTGGTTTATTTTTTAATTACCCCTTGAAGAAGCGATTGAACAATCAACAATAAAATATCCAAAACACAATTCTGTATCAGAATTCGACTGTGTATTTTCATTTCTTTTGGCGTTTTAAAAATAATTAAAATAATCAGAAGAATATTTAAAGGAAATCCAATTAATATACAAACAAAATAATCAAATTTAAATAAAATGTCAAGTAAAACGGAAGACATTTTTTTAGTTAGAAGTCTTTTTTGTAGAGAGTTTTTGACAAAATTTTTAAATATTTAAAAGAAAACGGTAGTCTTTTTCAAAATTTTCACCTGTGTTTCAAAGATAAATAAAAATATTTTTTAAAACAAATATATTATTTGTCAAGGAAAAATTAATAATATTTAAGTTCCTTTCCTTAAAATTTTAACTAGAATAAGTCGAGTACCAAGTAATTGGGGAAAAACCGAGTTCGAGTAATGCCGAGTTTGAAAACCCCGAGTTCGAGTACGAGTTTAACTTTTTATGCCGAGTACGAGTACAAGTAAATCGAGTAATCGAGTAATTTTTATAAAACAGTATTCTAAAATAATTTTACCAAAAACAATACTTTTACTCATTATCAGAGCTGGGTATTGGCCATTTGTTGGCAATAATGCGTGAATCTGATCCAAATCCCAGTTTTTTTTAATCCGCCTATATCCCTCTTAATCTGAAGAAATGATCAATGTTGGTCGGTGGAAAATCAATGGATAATATTATTTCGGGGGATCTGTGTAAATTATGCTAGTGTAAAAGCCCGTGTAAGCGTTAGTCTAGTTGGATCATACTAGCGGGGCTAGTCAACGATCTCCTTCGTCTGTTCCAGCTCTTTCCACATTCACCTTCTTTGTTCATTTCTACATTGGATAAACTGTTATTCTGGTGCAGTGCACGTCGACATTGTTTAAATCTCGGACACCTCGGGTTGTAACAAAAATAAAATTTAATTGAATAAATATATAATTGAGAAAGTTTATAGAGTTATTAAAAAATTTTTAAATCTACATAGTTACATAACAAGCCAACAAAATTTTCCCATGCAAAAAAAATTTTTTTAAAGTATAAATTTAAATTAAATGTAAACAAGAAAAAAAGTTCTCACATTTTTAATTATTTTATTAATTAAAGGTAAAGTTATCTGAAATATTTTTTTGCTGTTCAACCTTTCGAGGAGGGTTAAAAAATAGTACGGCCCCCTCAATTAGTACGGCCCCTTTATTAGTACGCCCCCATTTAAAAAATAGTTCAAAAGCTTCTCTTTGAATTATATTAATTATCCACATAATATTAAACTAATTTTATGAAATTCTAGTAGCATAGAGATAATTAAATTCGGGGGGTTAATTGGGATATAGTCAGATTAGGTATATCGTCAGAAGGTGATCACGAGATCCGCCTTTTATATCCCTCTCTTTTTGCGCCGCTAACTTAAATTTTGCGGATTTCTGAAGGCCAAGTGGGAACACAAATTTAAACAATTTTTCACCGGAAGTTCCGGTTCCGGTCAAATCGGTTCCTGTGAAACCCTACGGAACACCCAAGTTTTTGAAAGCCAAATCCTTCTGAAGGCCAGATTCTCCCATCAAATCCTCCATATACACCTAGCCTTCCTTTTCAGCGCCGCAGGCGAAAATTTTGATCTCCCCTATTTAATCCCTCGATTTCTAAATTGATCACGCACGGATGCACAAACTACCTCCTTACGCAAGACAAAACTTTACAAAAAGCCCTATAATAATTATTCTATTTAAAGGATGAAAACGTTCAGCAAAAGGTACATCGTCAACATTAATTCGATTACAGCACCAATAATCTCGAAAATAAAAGTGGATGAGGTACATACTAAAAGTAAAACTAAGTTTATACAACTAGTAAAAGTAAAGCCTACAACTAAAAGTTGTAGGCTTGAAAGTTCTGACTTGAAAGTTGAAAGAAAAAAAAGAAAAACTTAAATTTTTGATTCGTTACACTCAAATAAAAAATAATAAATAAAAAATATCTCCCGTTTTCAACAAGTTTTTCTTAATTAAACTATGTACATACACACAAACATTTAAATCATTTTTTAAATTTTAGAGTTGATTAATTAAATGTAATGAATACTTTTGGCTATAAAATTATAGAATAATAAAATTTGCTAGTCATTTTTTAAATTTTATTTTTTAATATATTCACAAATACTATTTTGTTTTTTAAATAAATTTTAAAAATAAATAAAGTTGAGAAATGATTATATTTTGGCCATTTTTATTTTTACTCGTATGTACTAGGTACGAGTGCGAATTTGTACTACTAGGTACTTTTTTTCTACCCAGACGGATGTAAAGCTGGTAGATTTCGGAGAGCTTAACCTAAAAATTCCAAAATATATTTATATTTTAAAAAATTAAAGAAAACAATTATGTATCGTCAAATCCTAATTTCTTTTATTCTTTTTGTTAATCTTTTTGTTCTCCCAACAACTCTAAATGGCCACGTTATGCAAGAAAAAGTTGGTTTAACAATTAAGGAAGAACAATTAATGCCTGAAATATCTACTATAATTAATAGGTTTTAATTTTTTAATTCAATTTAAATTTTAATTTTTAAAGGAAGAAAAGAAGTAGGCCTTGTTTCCGTACGATTGGTTCCATTGCTGCAGGTTGTAATCTCATTAAAGCAATCCAAAGAAATAAAAAAGATTAAACAACAAAAAGCAGCTGGGTTACATAAAGAAAATGATTTGAGAAAGTGTTTGAAAAAAATTTTCTAAACTAATAAAAAATAAATTTAAATATGTACCTAAATAGATTGTTTATTAAATAATTATTTTGTCGAATATAATATTGGTAATTTTTCCTTTTTTTTAAATAAATTTTATTAGTATAAATTTCAAATATTTTTGGATCTCTGATTTTTAAGCATACATAAATTCCTTAAGGTCTTTTATTCTTGTTAATTTTTTTGTTCTCCCAGCAACTTTAAATGCTCGAGATATGCAAGAAAGAATTGAAAAAATTCAAATATTTGTGGTTTTCTGATTTTTAAATATAAATATAAAATATTTTTGTTCTCGTGTAATTCTTGTATTTTATTTGTAACTTCCTCGTTCGTATTCCGCTTTTTGAAATGTGACAGGGTTGTTACTGTATAAAATTATAAAAATTGAATTATTTAAATAATTTTTTGAAAATCATACTTGTATATAACCGAATCATAAGAATCGGAGAAAGTTCGTTTGATTATATCGTGATTCGTCTGTATCTTTGTTTATTTTTTAATTAAAATGTACAATTGAATGAATCACCTTATGATCCATTTAAGTATAATTTCTTAAGAAAACATTAATTTAAAGGAAAACAGAAAAAAACTTTTATAATTCGCTAAATTATACACAAAAAATTAATTAATTTAATTAATTTCCCAATTTTACTGTTAAACATATTTTGCTATAAATTAACTGTAAAATCAACAGTTTCTCTCAAATAAACAAAATTTTCTCTTCGATTAAAAAATAAAAATATTTTTAAAAATAAAATGTATTCCCGTTCATCTTTAATTTCTTTTTTTCTTTTAATTAATTTAATTTTGACTCCAATGATTTTGGCTTCAAACAATGATGGTGTTGCTGCTCCAGTTGTTGCGAGTAAAGATGCTGGGAAAGTTAGAGCGACAGAAATGTTTGTAAAATGTTTAAAATTATTTTAATTTTTATCAAAAATCAAAATTGCTTAATTTTTATGATTTGGCATGTTTTTATATTTTTCGGAAATTAGGTGAAGTAAAATTAATTTTTGAATTAATACTAAATTAAAATAAGAGAATTAATTAATATCTTTTGATAAATTACCAAATTTTATTCGTATTTTGTGGTTCTTTTCTCGGTTTATTTCGAGTTTAGATAAAGACTAACTTTAATTTTTAATTTATATTTCCTGTATTTTAGCAAAAAATTCTTTTTTTTTAATTTTATTGAAAATTCACAAATTTTTATTTGACTCGGAAATATAAATATTAATTAATTATAATTTTATCTTAAAATTTCAGTAAAAGAGCACGCCGTGGGTTTTGGAAAGGAGTGGCAGGTGGAGCATTGGTAGGAGGAGGTGCTGTATTAGCTGCTAAAGCATTACGAGGCTAAATTGTGTATTTTAAATTTTGTTGATTTATGTAATAAATAATTTAATTTAATAAATTTGTTTTTCATTGGAAAATTATTTTAAAATTCTTTAAAATATTAAATTAACTTTTCCTAATTTGAGAATAAATGGTTTTAACTTTTAAATACCATAAAAAGGTGAAACGAGCTAAATATGGATTTAAATATCTAAATACAATTTGACTGTACATATATTTAGAACACAAAAAAATAATTATAAACTTAAATGACGTAAATAGTAATAAAATTAAGTGAATCTTTACTAAATTTACTAAATTCCAACAAAAACCAAAAATTATTCAAAAAATTAAATAAATAAAAATTAATTAATTACAGTCACAATCCTTTCTATAAATTAACTGTAAAATTAACAATTCTTGCAGTCCCACATAAACAACCACCAACCATTCACTAATTAATTCCAAATATTCAATAAATAAATAAAATGTTTTCACTTTTTATTAAAATTTTTCTTTTAATTAATTTAATTTTGGTTCCAGCAATTTTGGCTGAAAAGGCAAATTTGGAGAATAAATTAGATGTTTCTGTATTGAATAACGAAAATAGAGAAAAATTTAGATTGCTAAGGTAATTTTAAAATTCCGAAATAATAATAAAAGTTAAGAATAAGTTTTAAAAAATTTTAAGTAAGCGAAGACGTCGAGGCACATTTTGGAAGGCAGTTGGAGCAGGCGCTTTAATTGGAGGAGGTGCTGCTTTACTCTCTAAGGCTTTCAGAGGATAAAAAATTTTATTTAAAAATAGACATATATTTTTACTATGTATTATTTTATAATTTTGAATAAAAAAATTAATTAGATTGAAGTATTATGTAAAAATTTTCTTAGTTAATCAATTTTTGGATGGTAAAGGTTCAACGACTGTTGGCTTCTTCTTAAGTTATTTAATAATTAAAACATAATCTGATTGCCTGTTTTAATCGTCATAGTCTGCCAACGATTAAATATAAATTTTTAATAAAATCCCCTCATTGTAAAGCATATAGCTATTTGATTCCTAAGGCTGTGCAGTAGGCGGCGTGATGTAATGGCTAACACATCAGTCCGGTCTACTGAAGATGCTGGTTCGCTCCTAGCCGTTGAATAACCTTTTGCACCAGCTGAAGGAGAAAAAAAGTTACATATAGCTTAGCTGCTTTACTTTATCAAGATAACTATTCCTTGATTTTTAAAATTGTGGTGAAAACATAAAAATGATCCAATATTTTTAATCGTAAATTAACTGTACTAAGCAGACCTTCTTAATTAAAAAATTATCCTTTTTCCTTTCTAATTTTCTTTCAAAAAAACAATTTAGTAACTTCCTTAATTTAATTAAAAATAAATTTATTTTATTTTTATGACTCATTCTTTAAATTAAAAATAAAAACTTATTCATTTCTTACTAAATTTACTCGACTTACTCACCTTTTTGTTAAGTATCATATTTTACTTAAAAATTTAACAAAATAACCAGTTCTTTTATTTTATTAAACAAAAAAAATTTTTTCAAAACTTTGACATAATAAATCATTTTATTTTTTTATAAAAACACTGCGCGTTAACTTTTTATTTTTTTGTTACTGATTTGAGACAAAATAGATTTATTTCAATGAAATGAATTGAGGGCTTTAAAGATAATTTTAAAAAAGTGATTTTACTTTTTACTTAATAAATAGAGGCAGATTTATTATTTTAAAAAATATTTAAAATTATTTATAGTAATGTGAAAATTGTTGTAATCATTCCTAAAAATGTAATTTACTTTTAGTTTCGCTTGGTTCCGATTTTTTGTATTTGATCTATCAAATTAACCATTTTTCCTGTATATCCATCCCAGAGGGAATATCAAGGGCAGACAAATTTAAATTTAATAAGCAAAAGACAGGACTCGAGGAAAGCGAAGAAACGAGGAAGCTAAGCTTGAGTCACCACAAACATTGGATTTTGTAAAGATATACCTACTAATTTCAATCTATCCAAATAATTTCATTTTCAAGCCCCCGACATTCGATCCCCGTAATAGCCCGGAGGCTGCCCCCAGGCATTAATTAAATGTGTTCAAAACTGGTTAAGCAATAATATTCACACAACCTCTAATTATTAAACATGGGGAAATTGAAAAATATTTGTGCATTTTATTTATTTAAAAAATAAAAATTTACCTAATAATTACTTTTTATTTAAAAAAATGTAATTTAATGTAATTTCTGGCATTATTTTCATAGTTAATTTCGTTACTTCATATATGTATGAATAACAGGGAATAAGTCATTATTTAAATTAATTTAATTAAAAATAAATTTAAGCCTAAAAAATGGTTTGTCTAAATATTGTAAAATTAACTTCTTTTTTATTATTAATCAATTTATTAATTCTTCCAATACTGTCAATGCCAAATTCAGAAAATTTTGAACTTTTGAACGCTGGAAAGTCTAATCCTGAAATTCAACATATCGAGTTTGTTTTTTTTATTTTTTATTTTGAGTAATATCAAAGTACATAAGATTGATGTTTTAAAGATTTTTCTTTGATTATTCTGAAAATTCTGCACTTTAATTTTTGTCCTTAAATTGTAAATGATTACAAATATTCTTCATTCCGGAACTTTTCTCTTTCACAAGTTTCTGGAATAGAATGATCGCTGATATAAACAAACGTACAAATACATTATAAACATTTAAATCTAAATATTTTTTAAATTAACTTAATTTAATAAATAGAAAACGCCGACGACGTGGAACTTTGCTCAAAGCAGCTGGAGGAGGTGCGGCTCTTGGACTTGGGGCTGTTATGCTCCACAAAGCTTTCAAGAAGAAGAATTAAATATTTAAATTTTAAGATTATGAATTTTATATGATAAAGGACATAAATAAATGATAATTTCAACTTTTTTTTAACTTTTTTATATAAAATGAAGAATGTATGTTTTCCGAGTGATATCATTCATTTCCAATTGTCTGTTGGTTTCTACTTATCATGTTAACTGTATAGTAATAAAATAAATCTTAATAAACTTTGTTATAGAAATTATTAAGATTATTTTTGTTCAATCTTGCATGGGCTAATTTCTTGAACGAAATTTGGGGCAGAGAGGGGAGGGGAAGCTTTAATAGTCTTCTCTATCGTATTTTGTGAAGTTGGCCCTGTTGATGAAAATTTTAGTTTTCGATTTAAGAAACCTTTTTTGCAATTACGCACAGTGGATTGTGATCATGAGTGCTTGAAATTTATTCCCGATTATGGACAATTCCCCAATCACCAAAGAGCGGTGAGAGGACATTGATACGTTTTTAGAACATGACAAAAAATTCAATCAAAAAACCAGTCTTTTATTACATTAAAATTTTTTCTTCTTAAAAAACTCGACATACTCAATCATTATTTTATTTATAATTACACCCCGCGCATTATTTTGGTACAAATAAATTTATTATTAATTTTTAACGGTAAAGATTGCGGAAGAAAAAGAGAAGACAATTTAATATTTTATTAAATTAATTTCATCATTTTTAATTTTCTTTATTTTATTTTAATATTTATTACTTCTAGACATATTAATTTTAAATCATATGAACAATTTAGTTATTTGGCTGAATTTAAATTTTAGTTGATCAAATCTTAATAGATCAAAATTAATTTAATAAATATATAAATATTTGATAATTTAATATAATAGCCATTTATGTTCAAAAGAGATCTGAATTTTTTAAATTTTTGCCATGATTAGAGAAATAAAATAAATATTTTTTAACTGATCATCTTTTCGAACTTTCGTTGTTATTTAACGTTAACTATTTATAATTTGCTTATCCAATTAATTTTTAAAATCTGAGTGATCCATGTCTAAACAGTTTATTTAAATTTATTGTGTTAACAGAATTATCCCCGAAGGATAAATATTTTAATTGTTACCTAACAAATCCTTTCTTTTTAATTTATTTAATTGAATTAAATTTTCATTAATGTACTTATATTTAAACAATTTGTAATAAATTTCCATTTATTTTTTAATTACAGGCAAAATGATTGGCTTTAGTTTTGTTAAATTAACTTCTTTTTTGTTGCTAATCAATTTATTATTAATTCCCGTCCTGACAATGCCAAGTCCTGAGAGTTTTGTGCCCATGAATTTGAATGTTGCCGAGTTGGGTTCTGAGATTCAACCTATCGAGTTTGTAATTTAAATTATCAAAAATCAATTAGTGCATTAGAAAGATAAGGTCTTCGAGGCCTAAATTATAGGCTAAAATGATTGGCATTAATCCTTTTGATCTATATCCAAATAATTTAATTAACTGTTGGTAATCCTTTTTAATACTGTTGAACATAATCGAGAGGTAGGCATATCAAAACTGTACCACAAATTTATCTTGCATTAAGCCTTTTTAGATAGTTGAAATTTTATAATTTTTTATAGAAAACGCCGTCGACGACGCGGAACTTTGCTCAAAGGATTAGCAGGAGGCGCGGCAGCCGGACTTGGAGCTGCTCTTCTTTACAAAGCTTTCAAAAAGAAAAATTAAATTAAAGAATTTTGTGATTACTCAAGAAGAGAATAATTAGAATAAACTAAAAAATAATAAAATTTTATCTCTAATTCAATTTATATTTTAAATTTTTAAAGAAGTATAAAAATGAATTTCTTTGTAAAACAAATAATAACACATTCATTAAAGATCGCTACTTTCATAAATCCTGGATATGGATTCTGGATCTGGGTTTAGGTTTTTCCATATCAAATACCTGGACAGGATTCTTGATATCAATCCAGAAAAAATTTAGATCCAGGAAAAATTCAGACTGGATCCAGATCCAGACCGATCTTAATATTCATTTTTTAATATATTTCTTTTTTAATATTTTTAATTCCTAAAAAATTTTATTTTTTCCCTCTAAAAATATAATTTTTTTTTTAAAATACAAAAACTTAATTAAAACATGTTTTATTATTTGAATAAACCAAAAACTAGCTACATACAGATTTTTATTGTAAAAAATAAATGGTCTGTTGGTGAAAGCTGATCGCTGATTAACATAAGAAAAGAAATGAGGGAAGAGATATATTTGCTTAACAAATAAATGTTTTTTGATTGATTTTCGCAAAAAATATTAATCAATTAAGGTTATCTCAAATTAAAGATTATTTTAAAAGAAACAAAATTATTTAACTTGTGTTCACTAGATAGTTCGGTACGGTTCCGGGTACTAAAGTTTTCCAAGACCGACAACTATAGTGTTAATTAGAGATCGGACCAAAAAAATATTTGGTCAAATTTTATTTGATTTTATTTGATCAAATATTTGATTGATAAGCTTTTGAAGAATCTGATTTATTCAAATATCAAATAATTTTCAAATTATTTGATCAAATATTTGATTTTGCCGTTTGTCCGATCTCTAGTGATTCGATCAATTCTAATATTTTTAATTAAGTTTAAAACTGTAATCTTTAACTTCTATATGGGTTTTTGGATTAAATATAAAATGCACATTTACAATATTCACGTTTAAAATTTTCTAAGCACAGTTTTATAATCAGATTTTAAAGTATTTATTTTTGATCAATTTTATAAATTTAAAAATAAAATACAAAAAAATAAAAATATAAAGAGTATTTGCATAAATATTAACAAACTTTTTAATGTAACCGGAACAAGTGTGTGTTTATTGCTTTTGTCATTTTATATATTAAAAATATTAATGTAAACAATTCTCTAAATACATAAACATGTTCCTCACTTATAGCTAAATTTTTATTTACGATTAGATCTTTATGTATAAAATTTTATTTAATATTGAAAAATAAAATTTTAATTTTAATCAATTTGCTTCGTAATGCGACCTGAAGAAGTGTGTTATAAAAAATTAATAAAATTATTAATGAATTTAATAAAGACCAGGACTTTTACTACATTCTTTTCTAGACCTACATTAATCTAAAAACTAGGTTAAACAGAATCTAGTCCAAAATTGAATTTTAAAACTCAAATTTCTGAAGGTATTCATTTCCCTATTTGAATTGGTAAATCTTGGGGACTAACCGACAAGAAATTTTCACTTCGGGAATTTCTCACTCCAAAAAACGATGGGAATTCTCGATTTTTGGGACCTGGAAATCGGCCCCTTTGCTACAGCTATTGTTTAATTTTCTTTTATATTGGTCAGGTTTTAAAAGTGTTTAGCAAGATTTATTTAAGTTACATTATTTTAAAAATTTAATTATATGTCGTTAATTTGATCTAACCTTGATAAAATATCTAAAAGTTTAAATACTATTTTATGTGTTTACCATTTTTGTCTTTATTCATTCATTCACACTCACACACACAACAACAAATAATAAGATATTTAGTAAAAGGTTTGGGCGGCTACTCTTCCCAGGTGTCCGTCCTTAACCCAACAATCCCCTGCTGTTCCAATGCCCCTGCTATTCCTTCTCTCAATCGATTCCTGCCTGTAATTCTTTGACTGTACGTTAAACCCGCGTTTTTTATATAAATGGATGCCATTTTTTCTTTTTTTTCGTTTAAAATATTTAAAAAAATCAATCATTTTCAAGTTAATTCCTCCATTGTTTGATTGGATCTACCCAAAAAAGATATCCTTTATTTTTGATCACACACAATCACACTTTCATCTACTTGAAAGTGATCATCTACAATCCTTAACTTAGGAGCAGAGGTAGGTCGGAACAGTCAGAGGTGTCGGAAATCGGAAGAGCTGGAAATCGGAACTCGGAAATCAAATTTTTTTCGGAAATCGGAAAAAAACGCCGGAAATCGGAATTCCGACCCATCTCTGCTTAGGAGACGGCTGGCCCTTGTTATTAATAAACTTACATTCTTAATCTTTACATATTGTTTTCCCTTTTTTAAACTTTACCTTTTAAAATTGAATGAGGAAAAGGATAAATAACCTCTTATTTCTTTTAAAAATTTATTTCTCAAAATCAGTAAATTTATTATTACACAGTTCTATTTAACCTACTCAAATTTCCCAAAAATATTTCTAAAAATTCCTCATGTTTTTATTATTTAATGTGTAATCCTAGATATTTTTCCAGCTATTATTCAAGTACTACTAATCGATCTCTGGGCATTATTTGCACTTTAGATAGCCACTAGACCGGCTGGCCCGACAACAAAAAAAACAACAAACACCAATATCGTTTTCCTCTTTTTTGCTAACTTTGCCTATCTTTTTTGAATAAATAAAGGTAAAAACATATATCCTTCCCTCCTTCCATCTCTTTTTTAATTATTCCTATATCTCTTCTGTACAACAACAACAACCTGTCCACAAAACTAAATGAACATCTTGAGTTTTTTGGATATTTATTTTTGTGTTGTTTTTACCGTTTGCGCCGCCCATTTATTTATTTTTTTATTTTTCTTTGTATTTTCCTTGTAATTAGACTAAAATAACGTTATTTTTCTGAATATCCAATGAAAGCCGCAATATTTTGGATATTTAATAAATTAATATTATTTAAATCTGACAATTAAATATGTCTATATGTAGAATGTGAATATATTACATAGAATATTTCGTATTTATTGTGACGGGCAAAATTTTAAATTCTAGAGGTACGGGATTTTCATAAAATGGAAAAATTAAAATATGTGCTAAAAATATTATGAATATTTTAATCTTTAACAAAAATGTTTTGATTGTTCTCTTTTAAGGGCTTTATCTGGCTTGTTATTTATAAATATCCTATTTTTAAATAATTTTTAAATCATTAATCCCTTCTTTAAGAACAAATTATTTTTATATTTCTCGAAATATTTATAATTATGTACATATTAAATCTGAAAGATTGTATAAAATTTAAAAATATTTTGACAAATTCTTGAATGTACTTTTTTTACTTCTTATAACAAAAATCGTGATATTATTTTAATACCTACATGTATATTTTTGAAATATTTTCCACATTTTTTTCTTATTTTTACCTTATTCTTTCTTTTCACAATTTTAATTACCTACGTAGTCATAAATTTAAAAAATATCCACAAATATTTAACTAACAATTTAAATAAAATTTTAAGAATTTTAATATTTTTTGTTTAAATGGCACAAATTAGTTATTCACATCAATCACCTCCAAAACAACAACGAATTACTCAACTTCCTGGCGAAAATGGATTTCACGCGAGAGATGGGTCTTTAATAAGAAAAAAACGTGAACAATGGGATAAGGAAAAAGGTAGAAATTTTTAAAGCTTATTGTTAGATAATAAGATCAGCACCAAAATTTGCACTCGCTCCACTGTACCTTGTTTAGCTCTGGTACACGAAAAATTTGTATAAAATGATAGATAAAGGTACGAGCTTGAAGAATAAAAATATTATACCTACATATTCTTAATACGAGATCCGAGTATGGGAAATTTTTTATCCTAACTGGGAAAGAAATATTAAATTAATTTAGTCAAAAATTATTAAACCGTGCATATTAAATTTTAAACTATAAAAATATAAAATAATTTTAAAATAATTTTTGTTAAACTAAAAATAATTTTTTGTTAATTTTCTAAAAAAGCTGAAGCAAATCAAAACAGCTGGTTTCCATTTGGCGACCGAAGAAACAAAAAGAATGAAAATAACAAATCTTTTGGATATAAAAAAGATATGACTAATGACGATGATAAATTCAGAAATGATGAACAAGTAATTTTATATTTAATTTTTGTTGCCAAAAAATTATTTTAAAAATTTTTTTGAAAAAATAATTTTTAGTTTAACAAAAGCAATAGTTTCAATATCGAAACTAGTAGTCCAACAACTGAGGGTCATCAACAACAACATTTCTTTACTCCAACAAATAACCAAAAACCACCCCAAAACACTTCCCCCCAATCACCAATAAATATTTGCCAGCCAACAATGCTTCCATTTTTTGTAGATTATTCTTTAACTGGCCATTTTCATACTCAACAACAATTTATTCCTCAATATAATCAACAACAAAATATATTTCCTTTACCTAATAATTTTATTCCTATTCAATCTCCTAATAATTATCAAAATCCAATAACTTTCTCTGGACCTACAACAACTTTTATAGACCCTCTTTACTTGCCTCAAGTTTTTTATTTTTTCATTAAATAAATTTGCTTAGAATTTGAAACTAAATTCTAGAGGAATAAATTATAATATTTAATGAGCCCTTTAAAAACCATTATATTTTATCTGAAAATTCCCAAATTAAATTTAGTTTAAAAATTTATTGTCTAAAATTTTAATAATTATTAAAATTCAATGCCTGTAACTTTCTCTGGGCCCACAACAAGAATTAAGGCCTACAATTAATTAAGGCATACAAGGCCTACAATCTAAGAATTCTTTATTTTGTAACAATAAATAACGTCATAATAGGAACTGAATCAAAGAACCGAGGATTTTTCTTCTAGAATAATTCGTAAACCGTTCTTGGTTCGGTTTCTGATAGCGCAAGATTTTCTAAGAACCGTCAATCCAACAATAGGATCCCCTAGATAAGTTGGTCAAAAATTATTAAGTACTTATTTTCATAGTTTCCAAACACATTTCTGACCTAAATTTTGTTTATTTTTTAAAGAAAATGCCAATTACATTACTCCAAACACCTCCTTACTCAATTTCCTCGACGGATAGTGCTAATTCATCATCAAAAGATGTAATAACTACTCCATCTAACGAAGAATTATTTAATAAACAAACAAAAAATAATTTAAATTCTCCAAATATTTATTGGCAAGAAGAATTGGATAAACAAGTAAAAGAGAAGAAAATGACAGAAATGATTGAGGCAGAAAAACGTTTAGAGGAACAGAAAGTTTTGGAACGTGAAGCTAAACTTAAATTTGAACGTGAAGAGAAAGAAAGAGCAGCTGAGGAACAAAAAAGAACACAAAAGTTTGAAGTACAATTTTTTTAAATTTAGAATTGGATATTTTAAATGGAGTTTAAATTAAAATTACCTCGTAGAAGTATCTATTACAGTGTTAACTAGATCCGATTCTAAACTGTACAAATTTGTTAAATTGAATTAGAACCTGAATACCAAACTTTTTTAAACTAACTGGATCCTACTTGACTAGATTTGACTATCTCCTTCAGGTGCACAAAACCGAATGGAAGAACCAACATTCGGTTTGATTCGTTTCACTTATCCGATACTAATGAGTAGAATATTTTGAAAAATATTCCATTTTTTAACACTTGACAAATAATTTTAATTAAAAAATTAGATTCGAGATCAATACAATCAAGCTTGTTTGGATGGTATTCAACAAGCTAACAAAGAAGCTGAAGCTTTAAAACGTGCAAAATTGTATCGTCACATTCTTCTTGATGGGCAGGCTGACTTAGAAACTTCTAAGAAAGTGTTAAAAATTGATGACGATCAACTTGTTGTTAATGTTTTAAGACAAGTTTGTACTTAGTATTCTCAAATTAAATATAGATAGATTCCCGTTACTTGTTTTATGGAATACATAATTTAATCTAATTTTTTTAAAGCTTCGTGATTTTGAATTGCAAAAAAGTATAGAGAAAGCAGAAAGTAAAGCAAAATCAAATTCTCCATCAACAACAAAATCACCAAAACAACAACATTCATCATCACCCAATTCAACACCCAAAACCACTAAAAATAATCTAAACAATTCAAAACAACAACCTTTTTCAAGAGCTAATAGTTGGAGTGTTAAACAATCAAGTAAATTAATAAAAAAAATAACTCAAATTCCTCAATTTTTTTTCTAGGAACAATCCCAACTCAATGGTCATCTCATTTACCCATTCCAACTTGGCAAAAACATTCCAAACAAAATGAAAACAGCAACAATTATTCTAATACACAATCACCTGTCACGAAACTTTCAGCTAATGAAATTTTTAATAAAAATAAGGATAAGACTCCACCCGGCTTGGTAAGTTTATATTTTTAAATATTTAAATTATTATCTAAAAGTCTCGAAATTTTTGTTAATTTAAATTTTTGTTACAAATTATTTCCCTACAATTCAGTAGTATTAGTGAGACTGAAAACTAGAATTAGAATTTAATCTATTTTTTATCAAAAAGGTTTTTGGCGAGAATTTTTAATAAAATAACTAAACTCTTCTCTGATTTGCATTTATTTAAATAACCTAAAAGATCAACTTCCCAAATATCAAATTTTTATAGATTAAATTTTCTGTTTAAATTTTGAGTAAATTTGACGTTTCGAATTTTTTTAATTTTAATTAGAGACAATCAAAAATTACTAAATAATTCTTCCTACATTTAAATACTTTAAATTAATTAAATTCTGATTTTCTATAATACATATTTATAATTATTTTCCAAAGGGCCTGGCTTAAGTGATTCGAGATTGTTGCTCTTTCGGGTTATATTTTATTAAACGTTTATTTCTTGCGTGTAAATGTGTTTTGTATTAATAATACTTTATTTTCCTGCCTTCTCCCTTTCATTCAGGCCAAAATAAATATATTGGGACTTTTCTCTAAATATTATTATCCCTCTATTTTTTTCAATTTTTCTGCAAAAATATTGAGGAAAAATCAAAATAAAGTTACTAAAACATTATATGTATTTTAATTATAAAATAATTTTTAAAATTTATTATCTAATATTATTTCAACATTTAACTGATATATCCTAGCATTTTTCTCTTTTTCTAAAATCCTTATAACGTCTCTAAATTAATTTTTAATATTTTTAATTTAAAATTAGGTAATTCCTTTATAGAATTTTTTTATTAAACTGATTTTATTTATAACAAAGACATTGTTATCTTAAAAAATATAATTTTTACTTAATCCAATTACCCGTTTTCTATTCGCTTAAACAACCGAAAACCACATTTTTCTTTCACTTTTCTTCCAATATTACGTTTTTTACTTCCTCCGCGATCACAAAAAACCACTAAAACTGTTTTTTGGTATTTATTATGTAAAATTAATTAAACAAATTTTTTTGTTTAAATCTCTAAATTTGTATTATTTTTGGGATGTTTTTATTTTGATTAAATTTTTTAACATACATATAATTTGAACAATTTATTTATTTTTTATTTTTCTGTCAACTTCAAAGTTGCGTCTAATTTTTGAATTTCTGTGTTTATTTTTTAATTTTCAATTTCATATTTTCAATGCAGCTGTTGTCAAATATTTTTTATTTTAATTCAAATGCTTGAAGATTAAGATTTGAGGAGGAAGTAAAAATATATTTGTGACAAAAACGTGTTAAGATTTTTGACTAGAGATTTAGTTGCTTTATTTAATTCTTTTAAAAGTAAATTTTTTTTAATTTTTTCTGAATCATCCCTACTAATTCTTTTGCTTTATTACTCTTTTAATGGTTATATCCATTCTTTCACTTTTGCTCATCACTTTTCACTCCTCCCAAAATTCTCTTCATTTCTATATTTCACAATCAAAAATTTACTCTTTGTTCTTTTCTAAATTGCCAACTCACAATTTAAATAGATGATGGAAAATATTTTTTTAATAAAGTTTTACATATGTACATATTCCAAAAACATAAATATTTATAATTTATTGAGAAATTTTATTTTATTTTTGTAATATTTTTGGCTACCCGAAATTCTGAATTTTATGCAAAATTATTACACAGTCGAATCTCATTACTATCAGCATCACCTCGATGTCAATCATTAATCAAGAAAATTTCCATTATATTTAAAAATTACTTCCTTACATTTAATTTTCACTTCTTTCCTTAAAAAAATAAATTATTCTCGTTTTATTTCAAAAAATATTTATGTAAATGGCCAACATCTAAATATTTTAATAGCTAAACACAGTCACATAATCATAAAATGGGACCACCATATTTTCTAAATTTTATTCATTTTTTCTTTTTGATAGCGATAAATTGAATTAAACAAACAAATAATATTAGTAAAATATTTGTACATTTCCCACATTTTAACTCTCGATTTACATATTTTGTCTTGATAATTTTGTTATTGAATATTAACAAAAATATTTTTAAATTAAATTTTAAAATTTAACTAAAAATGTTGTGTGATTTTATTTTTGTAAAAAATTTTTTTAACCCTTTAAAGTAGAGTTTGACCACACCCGACCCCCGACCATATTTTGCTGCCCGGACCGAACCCCGCCCAAAAAAATTTTAAAACCCCGTACCCCGACATACCCGTATTTTCTTAAAATTTTTCACTTCATCTTCTACTTAAAATTTATCTTTTTGCCTTACCGAGCAATGATCCTTACATTTTCTTAATTTTTTTTTTTAAATTTTCAGTTTGAACAACTTACTTTAAGACGTCCACGTAACCAACAACAAATAATTTCATCTTCTAAAAATAAGGAAACAAAAACAAACAGTAAAATGATTTTAGCTAAACAACAAGAAGAAAACAGAAATAATATAGAAATAAATATTTTAAATTTTAATGAAGAACAAAACAAAAATAATGAAACTTCTTTTTCTTCTTTTAAAAACAATTTAAATTCTGCAAAATTATCTAATCAAAATGATAATATGAAAAATAATTTTATTATGAAGCAGGATAATACCAAAATTCTTAACTCAACAACGTTGAATGGGTTTGTGTTAAAAATTTAGAAAATATTGATAGGATAACTTGCCTTTTACCCACTCGGGTGGTAAAAGACTCAATTTAAAACCACTCACTCGGTTTTCGTTTTTAAATCCTTGTCACGGTTCAATTAACTGAGTCGCATAATTACCACATTTTTACAAACCTGATTTTAATGTTTCTTTGATCATTCAAAAAGTTATTTCCTACTAATTCTTTTTTGAAAATATTTTCTTAAGAAAAACAAACGAGAATGTTTCCAGTTCTTCAACACAATCTAGTAATTCACCAGGAAGTTCTTCTTCTACAACATCTAGAGAGAGTGCTAACGTTTTCAAATTTCGTACACTTCTTTCTTCTCCTTCTGGATCACAGGTGTTTAGAATAATCCTTAATTTCCAGCCATAGATGGTCGGTAATTTTGAAACTCGAATGGAAATCCAACTCTATTCCTTTAATTTTATTTCATTAAATTAAATTCGTGTACAAGGTGACCAGAAAGTAGCCGAGCACTATTTTGGCATAATTCTATTAAAATCGAAGTTAATGAGATCAAATAAAATTTAAATGATAGAGAAATAAATAATTAATTAATATTAAGAATTTTCGAAGTGCCCACCCCTTGCTTCGATACAAAGTTAAAGGCGCTCGGAAAAATTTTAGACAATAGTTCCTCATAATAACGTGGGATTTTTCCCAGAATGAGTGAGTGTCCTAAAATTAAATCCTTGTGTATATCCATTACTGACTTTATGCTTAATTTAATGGAAATTATCCTCAAAAGCGGGTTCTCAAATATGTACTGATACTACATACATATTATTTAAAAAATAATTTTAAAGGACGATCTTTTTAACAATATAAATAACAACAATAGTTCATTAACAATTCCTAGAACAACTAAAATTAATAATTCTATTTTAATAACTTCTTCAGTGCCTTCTCCATTTTCTCGTAAAAATTCAAACGAAATTGTTAATTCAAACAATGTATAAAATTAATTCTCTCTAAATTTAAAAACAAAAAATTTAATAAAAGGAATCTTTTGGTATTCGACAAAGTTTACGATCCCCAACAATGCGCCGTCTTCAAGAATCACTTCAAAGTTTATCAACTATTGATGATGACAATGAAGTGACATTGGAAGACAATAAATCAAATAATATCAATATTAAAAGTCGAAGTACTACACCAAAACCGTTTAATTGTAAAGTAAGTTTGGTTGAAATTCTTTAAATAGAAAAACTTGTATCGAATAAAATAAACATGTAAATATTTCATTGGGATATAGATAACAGTTTTTGGTTTTTTTTATAAAATAACCGATTAATGGAACATCCAAATTACCTAATATATTCCCTTCGCAAGAATGGACGTGTTTTTCTACTATCGAGACGAAATCTTGTCTCAATTTTTCGATTGAATTTTGCTCTAGGTTTCCCGTTTCTCTTTTAGCACTCCAAGCTTTAAATATTTTTAACTTTTCTTTTAGAATTCTCAATATCGTTCATTTAATATGAGAAGAGACAACAATACAACACGTTCTCGACAAATACTCGAACATTTGGCTGCTGTCCGTACTCAATTAAAAAATAGCCAGGCGCAACTTGAGAAAACAATATCAAAACAAAATTTGGCTGAAAATTAATTTAAAAAATAAAACGAAAGTTTTCTTTAAATAAAACGACGAAAATCACTTAAATTATTTTTTAACTAAATAATTTTTTGTTTCAACCAAAATAAATTATCAATAACTAACACAATATTTTTCTAAGATAATTTTTATTTAAAGCGTTGTCTAAGAAATCTTGTTTTTAAATTATCACTTTAACAATTTTTTTTGTTATTTATTTTTAAAAATAACGGAAATGAAAGGGACTTTTAAATATAATTGCTATGATGTCCATATATATTTACGTCTTTTTTAATTATTTTCTTGCCTGTAAATTATTTTTTATGTTTAAATAAATTTTTTCAATATTTTTTTTTTTAATTTGGATTTTTATTCGCATTATTATTTAAATATTTTTTTTATTAAATATCTCGTAAAAGTAGGATATAATCTAAAGATTTTCGGTTTTCTGCAACATCTACATATATTCTCTCGAGTGTTATAGTTATGGTTAGTCTGATAGAATAAAATCCAGAAAATTGAAAGAAAAGTAGTCTAAACCAGAATTATAACAGTATTGGCATTTTTATTTAAAGAGTGCTTGAAATTTTGGAGTAGGCACGTTTCCATTTATGAGGTCAATATTTTGATAAAATAAATATATATTTATTTTATTATTTAATATTATTTTACAAAAACAGCTTTAATTATTTTTTTAAAAAGAATCCAATATGTGTAAATTGAAA